ACTTTGACAAGCAAGCATGTCCTGAATTTTTGAATTTCTTTATTCTATAGCTTCTTCACACTCATCTAAACCACAACGTAATAAACAAGCATGCATATCATGATAGTATGAAGTAACAGTTATGTTATCTTGTTTTAAACATTGCAGTTTGTTGAATAGAATATCAGCATAATACATTGGGACATAAACATCTCTCAAATATCGTTTCAGGTCTTTCCAAGATTGTGGTATTTTATTATGTCTACAAAGATGTTTCCAATTATTAGAAGCTTGATTAATTAAAACACTAGAGGCACACATAATCTTTTGTTTCTCAGATAAACCATGTTTTTTAAATTCTATCAACCGCTAGCTTCCAATTAATGTACGCATGAGGATCATAATTTCCTTCAAAATAAGGTAGTGCAGATTTGATTTCAGTTAGAACATCATCACGTACCTCATTAGCATCATGTTGATCACACCTCATGTCTCGACAAAGTAGTTCATGTCAATATCGAGCAAGGTCATCTTCAACGGTCTTGCGTATCCCTGCCATTGTTAGTAGAAAACAAGAAACATACACAAAATATATGTACGCTCCTATCAACTACTAGGTAGTGGAGGCTCAAATATCACTCACACTCAAGCCTTTAACCAAGCTCTTACAAAATTTTACCAATGCAAGCGGAATGGTGACATACACCGACTCAACCAAGCACCCCAATGGAGGTTTGATGTATCGATGCATTGGCAAATACTTGTTGTACGGCTGCAATCAAATCTGTGGAGCTCTGGGTAGGCTTAAATATGTAGCAAAGGAATAGCAAATGCTCAAATCAGAGAATACAAAGTTGAATAATCGTTCAAAGTTGAATGACTGTGCTGGTCCTAGGCTAGAACGTACTAGAGACGCAAGTCTAAATATAAACGATACCACAAGATAGCACTAGAAACAACTCAAGCACACTATGATATATGAAAGCAAACTAAAAAATACAACTGATTTTTCTCTTTTCCTTCTTTCTTTCTTTCTTTTTTTTATTTCTCTTTTTTTCGGTGCGGCTTTTCTTCTCTCTTTTTTTAGCACATTTGTGCCTTTTTTTTCTTCTTTTTTTAACAAAAACTGACTCAAGGATCTCAATGTAAGGTCATAGGGACTCAAATGTAAATATGAAAATTACAGGACTCAACTATAAAAGTCCAAACCAAAATTACAAATTATACAAAAATGGAATGCTGAATTTATACGGGTTCTGTTTTTCCAAACGGATCTCGAAACCGACACCAAACAAAAATTCACCAAAGGTGTCTAGCAACTCGGCACAACCGGTGGGTAGTTGGAGACTTGGAGGTACAATGGGAGGGAGTCGGCAGATTGGGAGGGAGTCGAGAGAGTGGATGGGTTCGGCCTGGCTCCCCACAAGTGGAAACCGAATCCAATAAAAAAAAAGACTTTCCCCTTCCTCCTTCCTCCTTCCTCACTTATGGAAACCGAATCCAATCTACAATTTTTTTTCCTTTTCTTTTCTTTCCTTTTTTTCCTTTCCTTCCACCCCACCGAATCCAAACAGATATGCTATATTCCTTTCTTCTTCCTCACACACACAAAAAGCAACTTTGGCGGCCCTTCGAAGTCAGCAGTATAGCAGGTGGCCGAATCAGATTCTAGCACTTGGAGGACTTGACCTTCATGACTTCTTGTTGATCTATGATGTGAGCAATGGTTGTATCACTGGTAGGCATGGTCACATCACAAAATATAACATTTGTAATTATTTTTATATTTTTTAGAACTCAATATGCAAGCAATGTCAAATCATTATCTCTACATTATAGAAATGCATGTTACACATATCAATTTTAATGTATTGATTTTCTCCCAATCAAGTTCTCCCTCCATTCCAAAATATATGGGATTTTGGTTGGATAGGACATATCCTAGTAGTATGAATCTTTTGTTCAGATTCATAGCACCAGAATGTGTCTCATTCAACCAAAATTCCTTATATTTTGGAATAGAGGGAGTGTCATCTTTTGTTCTATTTCTCTTAGAACTCATGTAGAAGATTCATAAGGGGTTGCTTCTCTTCTCTCTTATCACTTCTGTCCTCGACTTCATCATTTATTCATAAGTGGTATTTTTAGAGGTAGCACTTCAAATCATATAACACTGTATTACTTGCTGCTTTAATATTGTACATGCCATCCACTCATTAATTAGAAGTTAATATACACAATATTTCTACAACAAAAACCTATCTATATAGTGACACTTTTGTAGAGGCGTTTTGCAAATTGCCTCTAAGATCAAGAGTTTTGTTGCTTGGAAAACTTTTACTCTAGAGATACTTTAGAGACATTTTTAGCGCATTTTGTTAAATTTTATGTTGTAGAGGTATTTTTTTCTGCATTTTAAAATGTGCATGATGTGTAAAGGTATTTCCTTAAGACATTTTAAACTCTGTAGAGACACTTCTTATAATGATAATGTATACTAAAGAAGTAAACATAACTAACTCAAGGCACAAACATCCCATTAATGATATGAGGGGTTGAGTTAGTTAGTCAAAGATAAAAATGATTGGACTAAGAGATCTTGAGTTCAAGGATTAGCAATAGCAAGCGAAAATATTTTATTCTCTTCCTTTGCATTGGTTTTATATGGTTGTGGTACAATTTAATGTTCTGTAGAAAATACATCTACCATCTTATAAACACTTTATAAAATGCATCTCCGTTTATAGAGACAATCTTTTAAAATGCCTCTAAGTATCGTGAAGGCATTTGAAAAGTGTCTCTATAGTATCAGAAAATGTCTCTACAAAGCATTTTCTTGTAGTGTATATTACCTCTAGTACACTAGCTTCAATACATTGTAAAACTTTTGTTTGATCTGTTTGCTCCCAATATATTGCTCATGCATTTTTCTATCCTCTCTCATATAGTTTGTTTAGAGGTTGCCTCTCACTACTTAAGAAAATAACTTTCACTGGTTGGGCTTTCATTTTCACATGGAGCTCAAATTTCGAGCTGCTCGTGAAGAACTGAAGATGGTTGAGACCAAGCTCATGGTAATGGACTCCCGTGAGAAATCTATTTTTTATGCGATTCCTTATGAAAATCACATGGTAATGGACGAGCCGCCGGATTCGGGTGGGACTCGTCCGCCCGCCGCCATTGTGCTCCGTGGTTGCTGCTGCCCGCTTCCTGCTGCCTGCCTCTCGCCACCTGCAGCCTGCGAATCCTATCATCGGGGGCCTAACAGCGGCGGATCTGGCCGTTCATCCGTAGAAGGTGAGAGAGAAAGGAAAGTGAGAAGGAGAGGTGGTGAGAGAGTGGAGAGAAAATAATGAGGATAGAAGGTGAGAGAGAGAGATGAGTGGATAAGGATGAAAAATTTTGAAATGTTAGAGAAAAATAAGGAGGTAACTTAGAATTTAGGTGGATCCTTAGGAGGCCCGCCTGCAAAAATATATTTTCTCGTGCGGTCCCTTAAGAGGTCCGCTTTCAAAAATAGGCTTATTTTTTACGTGCAAACTCTTGAGAGCCTTACCTATGTAAATCTATTTTTTTGCATGCAGTCCTTTTAAGGAGCCGTATGCGAAAATAGAGATCGATTTTTGCATACTCGACCAGTTATGATCCGTCTGCAACCAAAAGAGTGTCCTATAGCAGTTCCACGTTTTCTCAGTGTCCCTCAGCTAATTACACTCTTTTGGTTGCAGACGGATCATAACTGGTCGATTTCACAAATTTGGTAGTGTTCTGGAGCAGTTCCACATTTTCTCGGTGCCCCTCAGCTAATTACGTGTTTTTTTGGGTGTCTTGTAGCAAATTTTGCCTTTTACTTATTAACCGACAGAATTTGGCACCTGACGCGGGGATGCATCGGTTCAGTTCAATCTCCGGCGAAGGAGTAAGTCCTACGTTCCGTCGGCCCTGGCAATTATATTGGCTTCATCAGCGTTGTTCAAAGCTACATCAGTACATTCGACCTCTTGGATTGCTCTGGTTTGGTTGATATATTTGCCTACCTATTTATCATATGTCTATGTTAATCTAATCTCAGCATATCGATTTAGCTCTATCGGCCACTTCTCGCTTTAGGGTTTCTGCCAGTATCAGCTAAATCGTGTTGCTAGATTAGATTAGCTTAGACATCCACCACCCTGAAAATCAGTAAACGGCTTGATTGTCTAGATATTGTGTTTCTTTTCGTACTTAGTGTTGCATCAGTTAAGTTTGATCTACTAAGTCATGTTTAGAACCATAATCCCTAGCCTGCTTTTTGCCAGCCAATAAGGGTTTCACCGGGGTTTCAGCCGATGAGTTATCCGGACGTTGCATCGGCTTACAAGAATTGCATACATATTGGATTTAGCCGATCGCAACAATGATTTTACTATTTATATAATCTTGTGGATTTAATGACATCGGACCTCCAGCCGATGTATACTTTAACCCTCGCAACGATGCTTATCTATCATATCATTGTTAGCCGATTCGTTTCTACTTGATTATATTATTGCTTTCTTGCATTATCATCAGCCGATTGCTTTTATATTGTTATTTACATCAAGCATCAGAATTATAGCCGATAGCTCAAAACCCTATTGCTATCAGCTGGTATCGGCATCGGCTGGAATTACTCCATCGGCTTGACAGTCGATCCGCTCATCGATCTGCTATTTGTATATCTTGTCAGATGCAGAGTCAAATTGACTCGCACGCTCGCATCTCATCAATCTTTGGACCTGCATTGGAGCTAAGCAGATCTCCCAGGCCAGTATGTATTTTTCGCATCAATAAGTATTCGATGTGTGATTAGGGGAGGGGAGAGAGGGAGATTGTCGCCCTTAACGATAGATATCGCTGGCCCAACCTCAGGGCCCATAACATCAAGCACAGGCACAGGTGACAGAATTAATAAAACCAAGAGCGGATGACCCTTCACCAACTCGCGAAGCCGCATGAGCATGAGTTGAGCGGGCGGGAGCCGGGGCAAGGCATGTTCTCGATTTTTTTCCGCTACAAAGCACTATTTTTTTTAATAATGAAATATAATATCCCGGTATTTACTCAAAAGAGTTACAGCCAATTATTACATAGTAGTTTTTATGAACATAGTGTAAATCTAAATTAATAGAACACACTGAAGAGAAAAACAAAGAAACCATCTAACGTAAGGAGATCACAATTATTGAAGTCTATTTGTAAATCTCCAACCATAATTGGTAAAAAATTAGATAACCGTAGTCTCCAACTTTTGGCATGCAACTTTCAGCAACTCTTCATCTTCATCACATCTTTGTAGTTGTGCCCAAAACCGGAGCCAATAAGTTACCCTGAAAATGACCTGCATATAAGAAAATGATGGTGATTTGTTAAAACCCATGTCGTTTCTACTCAGCCATATTGTCACAAAGCACTATTACCGTCGGTCATGGATTGAATAGTACGTTGATGCGCATCGTAATATCTTTGTAAACTTATGGATATGGTTCTCAGGCAAGACATCGATGAGAAAGCCCAGCCGACATTGAGCGCTGCAACCAAGTCGGCATAAGCAGCATCGCTTATTCCTCCGTCACGTTTGATCTGACACATGTAACGTATATACACTCTGATCCCTTCCTCACAAATATCTGGTTAAGTTTCTTGTAATAGAATCAACCCATCTGGATTCACTTGATGCACTCATATTTATGGTTTTTTCTTCAATTGTAGGCGTTGTACTGCCTGTCGATAGCAATGTACCGGTGGTGACTTCAACAATAATGTAAAGATTATCGGTCCAATATTCAAAAGATGCTCATATAGGTGAGTGCATATGTGCGTTTATAGAGGTAAGTGTGCACGTTATGAGCACCTATGTTTATATTGTATCTCTACTGTTATAAAAATTGAAGATGTTTCCGCGGTCCGTCGTTTGTGTTTAAGTCGGTTATAAAAATTGAAAATGTTTCTGTGGTTCATCATCTGTGTTTAAGTCGGTTTTAATTTTATGTTTCGGTTTTAATCTATATCTCTTCTCTATCTCTTCTCTACTATTATAAAAAATGAAGATATTTTTGCCGGTATTTTGATACGTCATCCGTGTGTGAGTCGGTTTTTAAGTTCGTTTGCTTTTAGAAATATATCTCTACTATTATAAAAATTGGAGATGTTTCCGCGGTCCGTCATCTGTGTTTGAGTCGGTTATAAAAATTGAAGATGGTTCCGCGGTTCGTCATCCGTGTTTGACTCAGTTTTAATTTTATATTTTTGTTCTAATCTATATCTCTTCTCTACTATTATAAAAAATGAAGATGTTTTTGCCGGTATTTTGGTACGTCATCTATGTATGAGTCGGTTTTTAAGTTCGTTTGCTTTTGGAAATACATACCATATTTGAGTTGATTTTTAAGATCGTTCACTTTTGGTAATACATAAGGAATCATGTAAGAAATCTGTTTAAAAAAATTCGCATGCTAACATAAAACGATCGTAATCCTAACTACAGTTCATGATTTTCTAAAAATATATATATCCAACCGAACTCACATAGTGAATTTCATCTGAACTAAAGCATATAACAATAATAAGATTAAAATAGACTTCACCGATTGCAACGCACGGATATTTTTCTAGTTTCAAAAAAAAAATATGTATTTCACTTAGTACATTAAAAAATAGTCTTATATTAATTAATAAGATAATTTTACCATCCTTAAAAAGTTAATGAGAGATACCATAATTTTAGGGTAAAATTAATTACTTTAAAATACTTGATATCTCGAGATACTAATTTTTTAGTGTAAAATATTGGTACCCAAGTACTTTCTTAAGTACAGTACAATTTTTCTAGTTAATATGTAAACATCAATTGAGTAATATTATTATGAAGATATATTACTTTATTAGATGAATCTATATATATCAAATATAGTAATTTAATTATACGTCCAGTCCAAACAAGACACCTACGAGAAGCTCATATCTTTTGTGGATTGTGTATATATGTTTAAATCGACAAATATTTATGGAACAGGGTAATATAACGGTGTAGCACACGAAACCTTCCAAAATATGCCAGCTTCAATGAGACGTCATGATCGACGCATCAATTTTTGAGCCCAGATTTGATATCGTGAAAGGCTAGAGCATACAGATGAATATACGCATCAAAAAAGCTAAGCAGATCTAGCATAAGTCACGGTCGGAGGTGTGATTATCATCTGGGTATCTTGCCCCAACTAAATGACAGGGCTGCAGCTGTCGTGGGTTTCGTTGTGGGAATCCATGGTGACTCATGCCGACACTCAGGAGTGGCTCTGTTTGAGAGAAGAGAAGATTGGAAGATTGAGAAGATACTGTTAACGAGGTGGATTATTAGCATATGATTAATTTAGTATTACCTATTTTAAATTTTAAAAATAGATTCATATGATTTTTTAAAGTAACTTTTCTATAGAAATTTTTTGTAAAAAAAACACACCGTTTAGTAGTTCGGGAAAACATACGCGCGGAAAACGAAACAAACTTTCTTTCTTTCTTCCACTAAGAGCAAGTTTAATAATATAGCCAACTACTAGCTCCAAATAATCTATAGCCAATGTAATAGCTAATTCATACAATAATTGCTTACTGTACTATTAATACATGGTCACACATATCATACATACATTACGTCTTGAAGTCCGTGATGCAGCTGGCGCCAGATCTGTAGCCCGCTGCTCTTCTCTCTCTTCTTTTATCTCTTTAAAATATATTTATAGCTGGCTTATAGCCTGCTGTTGTACCTGCTCTAAATGTTTAAGTGTTTAGTTACTATCCCACATAGGGTGTGTTCAGATCTCCCAGCTTCCAACTCCCTTCTACGTTTTTCACGCGCACACTTTTCAAATGGATAAACGGTACGTTTTAAAAAAAATCATATTAATTTATTTTTTTTAAAAAATAGCTAATAATTAATTAATCATGTGATAATGGACCGCTCTGTTTTCGTGCGGAGGGAAAGAGTTCCCATCCGCCTCTTAGGAACGCATGCATTTGACCAGATCTTAAACCCATAAAAAAAATCCAAATTATCCCTTGACCATTACGGCAATCTTTAAACCGGAGGAATCACTCGCCCTAAAAAAATTGTTCTGCTAGACTGGCTAATGTTCGTTTCTTGCAGTAATTTTTCTGACGTGTAAAACGCAACACTCATTAGTGTATGATTAATTAAATATTAGTTTTTTTAAAAAATAGATTAATATGATTTTAAAGTAATTTTATATATATTATTTTTTAAAAAAGTATCATTTAACAGTTTGAAAAGTCTGCGCATAAAAAAAGAGAGACCGATAAGTTAGGAAAGCAAACAAAATAATACAACCGTGTGGCAAAACAAAGAAGGCCCATCTATTTCTCTCCCATTTTGCGAGCAGTAGGAGGCCGTTGTCTCTCTGCCATGCTTCTTCACAGCACCAAGCCACCAACCATGGAAGAGCAGCTGCTGGGTGACGAGGGGAGGGGCGAAATTGCTACTTTGGTGCCAACATCTGTCATCTTGTTGGACCAAAATCACCAAAACAGTGCTGCGTACCTAGCCCATTCGATGGACGGGCCTACTTGCACATACCACCCCACTTATACTTTCGCCCTCGCTTCGTGTAAAAGGGTTAATCGGGAGTGACATAGTTGGAGGGATGAGGTCTTATAAGTTGATTCCATTCTTGCTGGACTAGCAAGATGGTACTAAACATACGCACAACTCACATAGGCCACACATACCTTATTTTAATTGGGTCAGGATGTCACATCAGTTAGAGAGTGCGAGGTAGCTTCGACTATTAAAATAGTTTAGGGGGAATTCGTACATATCCGTATATATTTATAAATTGTAGTGTTTAACTAGGCTCTCTCTCTCTCCTTTTTAATACTATTTAACTAGGCTAAATTACATGTCAACGTGCCCAGTTAGATAACCTATTTATGCAGTTTTTTGTGATGATCCGCTTTTACATTGTTATCATGCATATATATTGGGCATGTTTCAATATCGATCTGGTATAGGTTATATACCCTATGCATCTATCACATATGTATTCCAAATAAACCGGGAATACACACACTACTCCATAATACTACTCGATAAAGTTATTAGTATCGTTCGGGAACATTCTAGCTTAGATGTCGGATTTCTCAACTGGAACCTCTCAGGCGACACTGATGAGGAGGAATCGAAGGTGATAGTTTAGAAACCGACACTTTGAGGTATATGATTTGCCAAAAAAAAAAAACAGAGAAGGCGCCTTGGCTCAATTCGAGCCGATGCCTCAAACCCACCAAAAATAAATCAAAAAATCTAACAAAAAATAGACAAGTTCATATCAGAGAACAGATAGTCAACAAGTTTATAAATCACAAAATTAAATATCCATCATTAAGTTCACATCATAGAGCCAAACATTTATCAAAAAGTTTATTCAAAAACCAAATCAAAAAATGCACAAGAGAGGAAAGGAAGGTCACCTCCACCACACAGGAGAGGATGGAAGGCCGCCGCGACTCGTTCCGTCGATGTCCCATCGAGCCGTCGGGGAGGCGCCGCTGAGGGGAGGTGACGGAGGCGCCTTTTCCCGCTTGCTCTGGCACCATCCGTTCGAGCTGTGCCGCTTCGCTTGTCACCACCATCGAGTTATTGCATTGCCGCACATGAGAGAAAGGGAGGCCGCTCATCACTGCAGAGAGAAAGAGGAACTGGAGCGATGTGGAGATATAAGAGGATAAGGAAGAGGTGGAGAGGTAAGAGGATAAGGGTGAGGTGGAGAGGGTTCGACAGAAATAAAGAGAAGTATAAGGGGGGACATCCCTCGGTGCCCGTGAAAAATCAGCGCCCGTGAAAGGTCAGGTTGGTTTTTTTTAAAAAACGGGCATCTATAACACTGTTATACGTGCTAGTTTATTAAAAAGGGGCACCAATAAGGTACCAATATTATTGGTGACGGTTTTTTAATAAACCAGCACTTACAAATAATCAAATATGTCGGTTTTTTACTTTTAGATTTCTTGAGGGGCGGGAAGGGATCATAAGTGCCGGTTTTAGATAAACCGACACCTAAAGTGCCATCATTTTTCTTTTCTGTAGTAGTGATGTTTGTAATCCGTGTCGAAGCCTATGACACCGTTAAATCTAAACAACTAATATCATTTTGTAAGTAAATCATTTTTTACGCACGACCGCCTAATCTACTCGGGAGCTGGCTCCGCCACTGTTTATACTAGTGAATAGTACTTCTCTATCCTTAAAAAAGGTTCAATTCTAAAGATGATTGAATTTTTCTTTTCTCTTTTTTTTTTTGAGACGGAGGGTGTATACAGGCGCAGCAAGAAGGCTCCCGGCCAGCAGTCGTGTTGAAAACGGATCCCTTCAAATCGCACGGACTCATAGTCATAACCAGTGCGTACGACGTCGGCTGAATTAGATAAGCCACACACCTGGGACATCTTATCTCCCCCACATTACAAAGCACATGCACGCGTAGTTGACGCTAATACCGCGCGCGATGACATGTCGAGCTCTAGCTAGGCCCCCTTATTCGGAGAAGATCGATCGATCTCGGTGATCCTCCCGCGCGCAACCATGCAAAGAGATTAATGGACGCCCGTCGACGTCGTCTTCGCTTATCGCCCAAGACTGCATCTATCAGGGCCGCGGCAGCCTTTGCCACCCCTATTAATGGAGCCCAACAGGTCGGGACGCGGTCGATTGCGAGCTGTGGATCGCAAAATAAAAAAGGCAGAGAGATGTTACACGCCGCTGTTTGCCGATACCACATGCATCCGCGGCCGGCTTACGGCGCACTGTTCCGCCGGATCGCGAAAGGGGACGAGAGCAAAGAAGCATCCATCCATCCATCGGTCGATCCCTGGATGTATCTAGTATTGTGTAATGTCGAGCAACAGGAGCTTGCCGACCTCGATCGGGAAGGAATCCAGGTCGCTCACCTTCCCCGTTAGCTGCCGATCGATATCATTGTGTCCTTTTGGTCCCTGACTCTCCGAGTAACAGGAGGAAATAGCAGATGGCGGTGGCGTGAACATGGCGGCAGCGTGTGAAATCACAACAGCGTCATTGCTGATTAATATGTTGTAGCTACTGTATTTAAATATCTTGAGTAGTGCCAACTTTTAATTTGGCTCCGTCACAAAATATCTATACAGCTAATTAAAAAATACAAAGCTTCCGCACCAATTTTCATTCGTTCCTTCCTCCCTCCCTCCCAGCGTCCCCCATCTCTTTCATCCGTCTATCCGTCCCTCCTTCCTGCGCGCCTCCGCTTTCACCTCCCTTCCTCCCGTCGTCCTCTCTCCCGGTGCTCCCATCTCTCCCTCTCTACACGCGCTATCTTCTCCCGTCGAAAACAGAACTCCTTGTCTGATAACACGTTTTGACGTACTCACCCGACCGTGTTCACCACAAGAGCCCAATGTAGCCATTTCTCTCTCTGTTTGGGACCACGTCGTTGTCAGCCACGTTCAAGCTGTTCTGGTTTTCTTCATTTCTAACTGCGGTCATCTATAGACGAGTCACATCATGGGACACGTCCAGCCACCTTGCTCATCGTCGTTTGGTCGCCGGAGTACCGTCGCCCATCTTCCATTCTCTTCTGTTTCTTGTTTCGGCTAAGGAGGACGATGAGCAGTGTTAGTCGTTTTGTTTCGGCTAGGGAACATGACGAACAATGTTAGTCTTTTTTTCTCCATCTTTCGTTCTTCCTGCGTGTTCAAGTAAAACATAATCCCTTCGTCCGGGAATGCGTTTTGGCACACTCATTCGATCATGTTCACCACCAAAGCTCACCATTATCATTTCTCTCTCTGTCGTGACCATGTCGTTGCCGGCCACGTTCCTACTGTTCTGGTTTTCTTCGTTGCCAACCTCCACTATTTATGGATGAGTCACATCTTGGGACATGTCCTACCACATTCCTCATCGTAGTTTGGTCACCGGAGCACTGGCGCCCATCTTTCCTCTTCTTTTGTTTATTGCCTTTAGCTAGGAAAGAAGATGATCAATGCCTGCTGGGCACTATTCCTTCTTGATCCAGTCCATCCATGCTGCTAAACCATTCACATAATATTGAGACCAATAGGAATACAAATAGAACATAAAAATTCTAATTTATGTCTATAAAACGGGCACCCGTTCAGAATTACTGAATCGGATCTTCATCTATGAGCTAAAATAGTTTGTTTTCCATTTCTAGCTAATTTCAGTTGTTTTTTCCATTTATAGTATTAATTTAGCACTATTTGATCCATTAAAAATTCTTGTAACTTATATTTTTTTCTGTATTATAGCTAAATGAAAAAAAATAGGAATTTAGTTATATAATTTTCATGATATTGAATTATCTTCCGTCCAATATTATTTGTAGTTTCATATTGTTATTTTTATGATTATATTTCTTTCATCATTTATGTCCTAGAATAAATTTTGTCTAGATTTACACCGTGCCTACTTGTTTTTGCTGATAAGATGGTGCAAAACAATGTATTGATAGGGTTGGATGTATTGATAGAGTCAATATATTGGTTTTCGTTCATTAATTTCTAGCTAGAGATCGAGGTATATACCTAGAAAATAAAAAAAACACTCCAAATAAGTTTCAAAGTTTAAATTTTGATTGGAATGGATAAGTTAACAAGCAAACAATGAGAGAGATAGTACTTTTGAAGGCTCTCTTTCTTTAATTAGTAGAGAGTTGTGTAAGTGTGAAAAGGCATGTAGTCTAGTGGTTGTAGTGACCTGAGTAGCATTCTAGGAGCGAATTTTAAATTAGGTTATTTGAGGGGCTAAGTTTTTAAATTAAAAAGGTTGCATACATCCAACCAGATATTGAGGCCGGATAAAAAATAAACTTCTCTAAGAGAGGGAGGGAGGGAGAGCTGTGTCAGCAAACTAAACTAAATGTGGGATATTTTTCAAGTACGCAAATACATCCATATACAGTCTATACAGAGAGATATAATGTCCAAAAGAGTCTTAATAGCTTATGATCTCCCAGGGTTTTCTAATTACGATATCGCAGGATTGTAATTAATCTTGTTTTTTTTCCTGTTATATCAAATACGAAATTTCGCACTGTCGTGTGTGGGTCGTTTAAAAAAATAATAATAGGATATGATCACCTTTGCTAGAGAAAGAAAAGATATAATTTCTGAAAGAAATTTGCATAGGAAGAAAAAGGAAAAGAAGAGGAAGCATCCACCCTTGCTTAGATGTCAAGAGCTAGAAAAAGGTTGTATTGAGAAAACTATATTATAGTAGTATTAGTATATATATACAAATCTGTTTTCGAAACAAAACTGTATGTGGTAGCATCAAGTTGTCCAATTGCACTGAAAATCCAGACACACTTTAATTTCTCTGAGACGATCAGTGCACAGGAACGTAACATGGCATGTTTGTAACTGGCAAACTAGATGGACTGATGGCGTACTCCTCCAGCTCCTTCTAGCTCCATCTTCTGCGCGTGTTTGTTTAAGGAACTTAAAAAAATGGAACAGTGTGGCAGTAGTAAGCAGAGGAAAGCTAATCGAACGAGTAGAATATGCGTCGCACAGGCACAGGCGTGATCATATATGCGTGTGAAACCGTTGAATATGCTCCCGACTTTCAAATCTCCTGCATGTATTACTTCTATGGATGTTTTAGATTCAGGGCGTAAAGTTTTGACGTGTCACATCAGATATTATATATGGTGTCGTATAGAATGTTCAGGCACTAATAAGAAAACTTATTACAGAATCAATCAGTAAACCTCGAGACGAATTTATTAAGCCTAATTAATCTATCATTAGCAAATGTTTACTGTAGCACCATATTATCAAATCATGGAGCAATTAGACTTAAAAGATTCGTCTCGCAAATTAGTCATAATCTATGTAATTAGTTTTTTTAGCATATATTTAATACTTCATACAGTTGTTCAAATGTTCTATGTGATATGGCGTAAAATTTTGTGTGGGATCTTAAACACCCCCATAGAGATATAGCTGGATTCTTGTGCTAATTCCACTTCCATAGCATGCTGACAGATCGGCTGCATGAATAACATACAGCACTGGAGTACTTTTACATAAAAATGCATTGCATATACAGTACTAGTATACTACTCCCTCCGTAAAAAAAAAAAAAGCAAACTCCATGTCTAGATTTACAGCCAGGGTTTGTCTTTTTTTTGACGAAGGGAGTAATTTGCTTTCGCGTAGTAAAGTACTTCCTCCGTCTCAAAATATAGGTATTTTTGAGGTTAGCATAGGTATTAATAAAGTAGGTGAAAATAATTGAAGGATGTGTGTGATTTGTTGAAAAGAGGAGGTATGTGAAGAAGAATGGTTGTGATTGGTTGAGAGGGGGAGGTGGGTGGAGAAATAGCTTTATTCTGGGACAAGTACTATATATTTGCTAGACATAACTATATTTTAAGACTGAGAAAGTACTCGACTAGAAATAGTACTCCTACTTAGTATAAAGTTCGGAATTATGAAAGGCTAGCAATGTTTAATTTGGAAAGTTTGTTTGGTCTTGCAGAGGAGGAACAAACTGCCGGCCTTGACAGTTCGTTTATTCTTGGGCATTGAAAAGGCCGGATACGTACAATGCACCTTAATTATCAAACTTTATTTGGCCAGCAACGGCAGACTTTTTTGCGATTACAGTACCTGCGTCACTTCATCATATCATAAATATTTGCTAACGTTTAAGACAAATAAAATAAACTCAAATATTTAAAACTTGAATCACCAATAATTTCTTTAGTGGTTAGTTACAACTTTTCTTTTAACAAATACTATGAGTAGATTTGTCTTGAAAGTTACTGTCTTAATAATATAAATAACATTGATTTAATAAAATATTCTATAACAAAAAGGTTGGTGATTAAAATTTTAAAAGTTTGAACATGTATCCTAAATAATATTCCCTCCGTCCCAAGATATAAGTATTTTTAGACTTTGATATGGTCTCCGAGATGATACTTTGACCAACAATATTTATAAAAGTAATATATTTTAAATAAAAAGAGTTACATATTATAATAGTTTGTTCAATGATAACTCTAGTAACATCAATTTTACATTATTGATTTTTTTATTTTTTTATTAATAGTTAAAGTTAAAAATGTTTGATTTATTATTATGTTAAAATGTTTATATTTTAGAACGGATGAAGTAATTATTCATGACCAGACTAAATAATTACTTTGCTTTGACTTAAAGAGCCTGGTGCCTGCAACTCGATGTCGATCGATCATTAAAAAGGTCTTAATTGGGCATATACATAGAGCTATCTAACTAATTGAGCACGCACGCACGTTATCCTATCGTGCTCACGTACTGTATGTACCAAATTGACAGATTGTGAATTATCTGCATATGTGTACAATACTGTGCAAATGTCACTGGGAGTCTGTGACACTGGAGCAGAACAACGTGCGAAAAGTAGTACCTCTCTCTTAAAAAATGCTGGAGGTAATATTACTCGTATTACCGTAGCATGGCAGAAAGTTATTTCCGGATTACTCTCTCCGTACAATAAAAAACCAATCTAGTACTAAATATGATACATCATAATATAATGAATTTGAACATACATCTGTCCAGATTAATTGTAATAGAATATATCACATCTAGTCCTAAATTTTTTTTTAGATGGAGGGAGTATGTAGATATATCTCGACCAATGGCAGTATGGTCGTTCTAGATTGTGGCGTCCGGAGCAGTACGTTGCTGAGCACACTACAAAGTACAAATTACCAAACTCTAACTAGGCCTATAATACTATTTATCGTAGATTTTTTCTATCTCTATCATACTATTTAGTTCCATAAGATCTTACTAGATTATAGGCATGCAGTATCTCAATTGACAAGAGTATTATTTAAAATAAGGTGGATTAAAATTTTTGTGAATAATTTCACTCAAATTTTTAAAAGTCAATTAAATTTTATCAAAATTATTATTATTGGCTCTAGTTTATGCAACATAGTGTAAATGCTATATTAAAAATATGTAATTTTGAAAATCTTATAGGATCCCAATCCTATAATATTATAAGGAAAAAAACAATATCAACACTAATTACTACCTCTATTCTATGGGCCTGTTCACTTTGATGAAAAAAAAAACCTTACACTATGCCAAAATTTTGACAACTTACCAAAATTTTAGCAGGTTTTCTTATATAGTTACCAAAATTTGGCAGCAAACTAAATATAGCTATTTTTTTGGTAACTTACCAAAATTTGGTAAGGTTGAAAATGACATCAAAGTGAACAGTCCCTATAATAAAAGCAACATAGTATAGTATGGGACACATGCTATTACTGTGAATTTAGATAAGGGTATGTTCGGATTCGTAGTACTAAAATATGTCCCATTCTATATTATGTTGTTATATTATAGGACGGGGGAGTACCTTGGTTCATTGTGGTCTCATTGTCATGACTACTAGCTAGGTTTCGGCGTGTTTAGTTGTTTAGGTGTAAAAATTTTGAATTATACGGACACACATTTGAAGTATTAAACGTAAACTAATAACAAAACAAATTACATATTTCGTCTGTAAACTATGAGACGAATTTATTAAGCCTAATTAATTCGTCATTAGCAAATATTTACTGTAGCACCACATTGTCAAATCATGGAGAAAAAGGCTTAAAAGATTCGTCTCGTAATTTATACGCAATCTATGTAACCTATGTAATTAGTTATTTTCTATATCTATGCATGTGTCTAACATTTGATGTGACGGGTGAAAAGTTTTTACGTGTGATCTAAACATGGGCTGACGACATCTGAGTAGTTGAGTCTGTCGATCAACAAGCATATGCTAGAGGTGTGTTTAGTTGAGGAAATAAAAAATTTTGGGTGTTACATCGGACGTTTAACTGGATGTCGGAAGGGGTTTTCGGACACGAATGAAAAAACTAATTTCATAACTCGCCTGGAAACCGCGAGACGAATCTTTTGAGCCTAATTAACCCGTCATTAGCACATGTGGGTTACTGTAGCACTTATAGCTAATCATGGACTAATTAGACTCAAAAGATTCGTCTCGCGATTTCCTCCCAAACTGTGTAATTAGTTTTTTCATTTATCTATATATAATGCTTCATGCATGTGTCCAAAGATTCGATGTGATATTTTTAGGAAAAAATTTTGAAAACTAAACGGGGCCTAGGTAGGCTGAGCTCGGCTCTGATCGACACTCTGCCCCCGTGGGGGCGATAGATCGAGTAAACATTAAACAATGATGCACATACACACTTCGAGAAACCTCACTGTTGCATATACGCACGCCCCCCCGCACTGTACACGCGCTGCTCAACTCAACTGCAGATCACACAACGAAAAACAACTAATAAGAAGATTTTTAGTGGCTGCACACTGCATCGCGGCGCGCACGGCCGGTGACAGCGCCATCGCCCGGCTCGTCGCGCGCGCCGGCCCGGGCCAAAACACGGACCACACACCCCCACACACTGTGCTCACGCGTCTCCCCGGCCGCCTCCAAGTGTCGCCTTTTGCCGCCCCCGCGCGCTAGCCGTACATGCAACCCGCAACCAACCAACCAACCAAGCCCCCTCGAGGTCGCCTCGCCAACGGGATACCACCGGCCAACTCCCGCGAGCTCTCTATATAAGCCTAGCTTGCCTTGCTCCTCCTCGCATCCACCCCCAAGCTCGCGCTCAACCAAACACACTACAGCTAGCTTATAGCTAAGCTGTGTGTGCTAGCTCGATCGGTAGTAACAACGTCCCAGGCAGCCATGCCGGCCATCGCGGATTGCGCGGCCGACCCGCCGCTGGCGGACAGCTACTACACGCTGCTCCGCCTCGGCGGGGACGACGACGACGACGCGTGCACGAAGGTGACCACGACGCCGCAGCCCGTGTCGGAGTGCGAGCTCCCGATGATCGACGTCGGTTGCCTGACGGCGCCGACCGGCGCCGCCGCCGCCGCCGCCGTGGGGCAGCAGCATCAAGCCGAGGAGAGGGCGGCCTGCGCGGCGGCCATCGCGGCGGCGGCCGCGGAGTGGGGGTTCTTCCAGGTGGTGAACCACGGCGTCGCGCAGGAGCTCCTGGAGGCGATGCGCCGGGAGCAGGCGCGGCTGTTCCGCCTCCCGTTCGAGGCCAAGTCCAGCGCCGGCCTCCTCAACGACTCCTACCGCTGGGGCACCCCGACCGCCACCTCGCTCCGCCAGCTCTCCTGGTCGGAGGCCTTCCACCTCCCGCTCGCCGGCATCTCCGGCAAATCCTGCAACTACGGCGACCTCACCTCCCTCAGGTACGTACATACTCCACGTGTATACACCATCATGCTATAAAAAATAAACTTATAGCTACTCCCTCCGTATTCGTAAAGAAAGTCGTTTTAAACAAGCGACACGGTCTCTAAAACACAATTTTGATTTCTTATTTCTATAAAAGTTATTTATTGAAAAATGATGTCTGTATATTTTAATTCAAGTATTTTTCAAGACAAATCTATTCATATAATTTTACATTTTCAAACTCAACAACTTGAGTTATTCATAATTTATATTCTCAAAGTTTGACTTAAACATTATTTTAAACGACTTTCTTTACATCGACGGAGAGAGTATATATCTAAAATTAAAAATTTACATGGACGAAGAGAGTATATATCTAGAATTAAAATTTTATTTTTTTTATATTACGGAGGAATTACACGTGCTAGTTAGCTCGCTCGTCAGTCAGTCAGTCAGTCGACACTTCGACGTGTGTAGTGCACGCGTGATTCAGATTCTTCCATGTTCTATCTATAGCGCTAATTAAGCTGACCGGTATTTGCAAAGTACATAAGAATAATGATGAAAAGTGTTCTTTGGTCTCGCGTAACTAAATGAATTTATTCGATCGATCGGGACGTACATCGGGTTATATGATTGCGACATGGTGGATTAATTAGTGCGGCGGAATAAGAACCGGGTGAAAAGGAAATATCACTTTAATTACGGTGTGGTTAATAATAAGCTCGCCTAGCAAAATCACTCTTTCGAATGATGTGTCTTGATCATGAAGTACGTAGTTCGAGAGCTGCTGGGGTTCTCTCTAATTCGCATCTAATGATGTAAAAAAAGATAATAAAGCTGTGCTTCTGCTTAGTTTTTTTCTCTTTTTTAAAAAGCGGGATGCAAAATGGTCATCCAAGTACCATGAACACTTACCTTTTTAAGAGACAGCATGAGTTACACTTTATTTTTCTTCAATTACGTAAAAATATGCGTGCACGCACCACTAGCACCGTATCCATATATATACAACGCACTTACCCACCCATGAGTCGACGAGTTTATCTCTTTATCGTACGTCTAAAGATTAAAAAACATTAGTTTTGTATTAAAAACATACTCACCTATATGTAACATTTGATTATTTATGATCACTATGATTTAATCCTTACAAATTGAAACACGTGGTACACTCTAATTAAACTGGTACTTTAGTTGTAGGAAGTTATCAAAAGTCAACAACACAAAAATACGGTCCGCTTTTCAGGAGCTCTTTAGTTATGGGTAAACAATTTGTACAGTACGGAGGGGAAACATGTGTACATATGAAATATAAAACCATTTGTTACCACCGTTAATCCACCTTTTTTTATGTTTACCTTGATCCAACAAAAGAAATATTCCAGGACCTAACATATATTAGAATAGAGAGGGTTTCAGGTCGGCAAAACAACACAGTACACTGATTTCGCAACTAACACCATCTAGTTGCCGTGTGGGGGCGGCGCAGGGACGTGACGCGGGAGGTGGCGGACGCGATGTCGAGGCTGGCCAGGGCGCTGGCGCGCGTGCTGGCGGAGAGCCTCCTGGGCCACGCCGCCGGCGAGCGATTCCCGGAGGGGTGCGACGACGCGACGTGCTTCCTCCGGCTGAACCGCTACCCGCCGTGCCCCTTCCCACCGGACGACGCCTTCGGCCTGGTCCCGCACACCGACAGCGACTTCCTCACCGTGCTCTGCCAGGACCACGTCGGCGGCCTGCAGCTCATGAAGGGCTCCCGCTGGGTCGCCGTCAAGCCCATCCCCGGCGCCCTCATCGTCAACATCGGAGACCTTTTTCAGGTACACCCATTAACTCCAACGTTGTATAAACATCTCAACACAAATCCCTAAATACCATATATGCATAATGGTACTAAGATGGAAGAGAGAAAACAAAAGAGAAAAAGAGGATGAGTCACCCCCTCATAAAGAGAAAAATATGGCGCTGATTGGATGAAAAGTGCATGAAACAAATAGTTTTCTTGTATTGGAGCTAGTATATTAGAGATAATGTGTAGTATATTTTACCTCCTAATAATTAATTAGTTGATGATGTGGATAATATTAAGGGTGACAATCATCCCTACTATAAAACTTGCTGTTACACCTAATCATGCATACCACTCGTGCTATATATAGTGCTATATACCCAATCAACAACTACTCCATATTCTACGAAGCTTTGCACGGGAGAGGAGAAAAAAATGTGCATAATTATTTTGGACAAGGCGAGTACAATACAGGCTCTCGTGGCTGGCCGGCCGGCTGGCTGGCTGGCTGGCTGCGGCCGGCAATGCTTTCCAACCTGTAGAGTCAAAGCCTGCATCTGCCTATGGTAGGTGGTTTGTCTGTCTGCGTGAAAAAGTACAGATTCCGTGAACATATTCCGGGCCTCCGGCTCTCCAAAAGGCGGACGTTGCAGCGTCACGCTTTGCGTACTTGTGCTTGTGGGCATGTCGTGCCTATCTATCAGCAGCCTTGCCTGCGTGTATCGCTGTACCGCCGCTAGCGAAAAAAAAAAAAGGCTGCGGATTCCGCTATGATCAAGGGACAGAAAAACATCGTGCAAAAGGGCTAGTAGAATGGAAAGATCGACTTGTCAGTTACACTCACATGGTACATTTGCGACTTTTGCTAGGGAACTTGATCGGTCACGATAACATAGTACTACTACTATTGTACTACTATATCGTGCTATAACTAGAGTCTAAAAGAAATCTCTCAATCTATGCCTATGCCCAACAACACGTTCTAAGAAAATATCTACGTTAGTCAGAAAATAGTACATAAATCTAAAGCATATACTTACATCTTGGGAGGACCAAATTATAACAGTTTAGGCACCATTTGAATGTGATAAGCTTAAGCTTATTACAGCACGAAAATGTAGTGGATGATTAAAGCATGATTAATTACTAAGTATTAACCATTGTAAACTTATTTTTTAAAAAAAAAATCTATATATTTTTTTTCATGAAACATACAAATGTGAATCATTAAATTAAGCATCAGTGGACAGTGTATGCGAGGCCGTACTAAACTTATACTCTACCACGTTGAACCAAATTAGGGCGGTTCAATTCAATTCCTGACGTTTTTCCGACTCTACTTCTATTTTGAAGGCGTGGAGCAACAACAGGTACAAGAGCGTGGAGCACAGGGTGATGACGAACGCGACGACGGAGAGATACTCCGTCGCCTACTTCCTCTGCCCGTCGTACGACTCGCCCATCGGCACGTGCAGGGAGCCTTCCCCTTACAAGGCGTTCACCTTCGGGGAGTACAGGCGAAGGGTGCAGGAAGACGTCAAGAAGACGGGGAAGAAGACTGGCCTCAGTAATTTCCTCGTATGAGGCGCACACAAATTCAGTGGCCGGCCAGTTTCAGTTCCGTTCTGTGTATCATCAGTAAATGTACAATTATTAATGACTAAGAGTGCAGTACATTAATTAATTAATTAATTAGTTTATTGTAGCTTAGTTTGACGGTGTACAAGTACTGGTAGGAGATTGCCGGTATATATGTACGTAGGAAATAAGATAAGGGATCCATGTACAGTTTATGTACGGCCTTCGATCCCTTGTCCTTTGGTTTGAATTATGATGTTTCTTAAACGTGCTGTATGTATGTTGATGAATAACTAGTATTTCTTTAGATTTGTAAGAAATTTGATGTACTTGCATTTTATACATAGCTTTGCACTATAGTCTATAGAAGAGCATTCCAAGGGTCATCTCAGGCTTGCGGCCCGGATTGCTATGGCCTCAAGCACGGGATGGGCCTGACACAAATGCTCAAATCTTGAAACTTTATAGGGCCTGAGGTCTTTCAGCAAATGTCGCAGTGGGCCCCTTGTACAGCCTGCACTGTTCGTCTCACTAAACTAGTACTAGCAAAAGGAAAAAGTACACCGTAGGTCCCTCAACTTGTCATCGAATTACAAAATCGTCTCCCAACCGCAAAACGGGATACCACGCATCCCCTAACTTACAAAGCCAGTGCAAACTAAGTCCCTCAACGGTTTTGATTCCGGTTTTGACCGACATGGCAACTGACTCAGCGTGGGACCCACATGGGTCCCACATGTCAGCCTCTACTTCCCCACCTCTCTTCCTCTCTCCTCCCCTTTCCATGTCAGCCTCTCCTTCCCCTCCTCTCCCTTCCTCTCTTTCTCTCTCTCTCTCATCTCCCTGGGTAGGCCGCCCAGCAGGGGGGGAGGAGGAGGTCCGACGGTCGGCGGCGCGGTGGCGGACGATGACGACAATGGTGGCCAGCGCGCGCAGCTCCTCCCCCGCCGCCCGTTGGCCCGCGCGCGAGGAACTCACCAAGGGGCAGCACAACGACGAGCAGCGAAGGGAGATGACCGGCGGTGAGGCTCGGCCAGATGCAGCTAGAGCAGCTCCTCCCCGCCGGCACCGCCCAGTTCCTCCCCACCGCCGGCGCCGCCCAGCTCTTCCGCACCCACCGTACTCGTCACCCGTGGAAAGGGGAGGAGAGAGGAAGAGAGGTGGAGAGATGAGGGGAAGTAGAGGCTGACATGTGGGACCCACGTGGGTCCCACGCTAAGTCAGCTGTCACGTCGGTCAAAACCGCCGAAAGATCTAGTTTGCACTGGTTATGTAAGTTAGAGGATGCGTTGTATCCGGTTTTACGGTTGGGGACGATTTTGTAATTCTATGACAGGTTAGGGGACCTTCGGTGTATTTTTTTCCTAGCAAAATGTCCATCGAATAAACACCATTGGAATTGGCGATGAAATAACGTCGCTTGAGTTTTTGCGTACGAATCATAAACACAGCTTGAATGAGACCCATGGTGAATTCTGCAGTAGGGGTTTCCAATACATTTAGCAGGCCATCTCAAATAGTCCAACGTGCTAAACATAGCCATGGGAAAAATTCTATCAAATAGAAACGGAAATTTCACATGGCAGTTATCCTTATTTTATCCGCCGAATATTCACAAACAGTCAACACGAGGCAACGAGATTCAACCACGCCACAAGCATGGAGATCATGGAGCATTCGCTATTTTCACTATCTTCACGCCAGCTTCAACCACGCCAGCTCTAGGAGCCCTAAAGCAGAAGCATTCGCTATTTTCACTATCTTTTTACAGCAAAGCGTTCACTAATTTGAAGCAGCAAGCAACGAACGGTTGCTTCTCCTTGGGCAATTCATGGGAAGAAGGCAGGCACAAATACCTCGCCTTTCTTGGCAGATTGCGTGCTGAATCAATGGCATTCGCGTAGCTCCATCTCGCTCTTAATTATAAAACCTATTCAAATCGACAGTTTTTTGCTTGTCCAATTCCCATCACCTAGTTCCTCTCAAATTATACATCTAAGTAGTGTGACGCGAAATAAACGTAAAAGTCGCGCATTTTTCAGTGAGTGGATATGCTTCGCATGCACCGCCCTGGTCTTGGCATGCTACGGCTGCCCTGCCCTGTATTGGCATGTAGCCTTGCCGGCGGCGGCGGCGGAGGGCAGCGGCGGAACATACAGGCCGACTCATCTTCATCCGCGAGGACATGGAGAAAGCCGGAAGCCGGGTGGATAAAGCTCAACTTCGATGGGTCGTCTAAGCACGCGACCAAGATCGCGAGCATCGGCGGCGTGTACCGCGACCACGAGGGCGCATTCGTGCTCGGCTACGCGGAGCGGATCGGCAGAGCGACGAGCTCCGTCGCGGAGCTCGCGGCGCTCAGGCGCGGCCTCGAGCTGGTGGTGCGGAACGGGTGGCGGCGCGTCTGGGCGGAGGGCGACTCCAAGACGGTGGTCGACGTGGTGTGCGACCGCGCCAACGTGCGGTCGGAGGAGGACCTGAGACAGTGCAGGGAGATCGCCGCGCTGCTCCCGCTGATCGATGACATGGCCGTGTCACACGTGTACCGCAGCGGGAACAAGGTGGCGCACGGCTTCGCCAGGCTCGGACACAAGGCGGTGCGCCCGCGGGTGTGGCGCGCCGCGCCGCCCGAGGAGGTGCTCCGGTTCCTCCAACAAGACGCCGATCAACGATAAAAAAAGGAGAAAAAAAACTGACTACCGCCCCGCGAGTTGTGAGATCAACCGTGTAGAGGCTGACTTTTGTTGATCTGTACAGGATCTGTATCTGTATATAATTTCGACTCGTAAAACGGACGCTTGGTAATTGGTATCCTATAAACGAAGAAAGCTCGGAGTGTAGGCATAAAAGTTGAACCACGTGTAAGACAGTAAGTGTTTCGGCGACGACGTCGTCGCCGTGTCCTGCCAGACCACCGAGACCGCCCGGCTCTCGGCGTCGTAGCACGCGATCTTCCCGGGCACGCTGAAGAACAGCACGCCGTGCCGCCCCGCCTCCCCGGGCCCCCGCACGACGTGCAGCGGCGCGCCTCCCCACGAGAAGTGCTCCAGCGTCACCCTCGCCACGCGCGCGCCGTCGTCGTCGCCGGGGTCGTAGAGCTCCTTAACCCGCGTCAGGTCGACGCGGTACAGCACCGTCCACTCCCCCTCCTCGTCGTCGCGCATCTCCAGCACGTCGAAGCAGGCGGCCCGCCTCTCCTCGTCGGTGTACCCGATCACCTGCAGCCGGCCGCCGGACTCGCCGACGTAGGCGTACACCCACCCGGCGTGGAACCAGCCCTCGGACCGCAGCCTCGGCGGCAGCGGCATCTCGCTCAGCTCCCCGCTGTCGATGGCGAAGCGGAGGAGGCGAGGCGACAGCATCGCCCACACCAGCGAGCCGTTCCAGAAGACGCCACGCGGGTGGCGGAGCCCCGCGAACGGGCTGCGGCGGCAGCGGCCGTCGTACCGGACCGCCGTGCGCCAAGAACGTGTCCGGGAGGAGTAGACGCGGATGCCGTCGTGCCCGCGCGCGACGATCCTGTACTGGTGCCGCGACTTCAACGGGTCGTAGGCGAGGTTCAGATATTGGCCGGCGCCACCGGCGCCGGCCGGGACGTCAACCTCGAAGAATTCCATGGTTTCCGGGTTGCAGACGTAGTGCCGTGCTCTGTACACGCCAAGCTCGCCGTCGATGCGTCGACGGCGGCGGCAGAGGAGAAGCCCGTGGCAGGAGCTGGTGACGTAGGTCTCGGAGTTAGCCGTGTCGGCGGTGGTCGGGATGAACGAGAGGTCGGGGCTGGAATAGCCTCGGAGGAGGGGGTTGTAGCTGAACGTCTCGTGGATCTCGTCGTTGAGGAAGAAGCCGGCGATGACGGGGTGACCGGCGTTGGTGCGCAGGAGGTTTGTGTGCATGAAGAGGTGTTCCGACGTCAAGGCGTGCCATTGCTTGCACACGACTCGCGCGCGGACGAGCTCCTTGGGCGGTAGCCGTGTCAGGATGTTGGCTATGATCTCATCGGGGAATGTCATCTTCCTTACCATTTGGAGCAGAATTGGTACGAGAAGAGGGATCAGGGATGCGCTTGGTTGAAGCTACATACTATATACTGGGGTACTCCATATTGTCTCTGTTCAGGTCAATCCAAAAGTGTAAACGTACGAGCCTACGAGGTCATCTCCTCTAGTCACGAACAAGGGTAAATTGAGATAGTCGATCGGGACCGTCGAGCCGGTCGAGGTGGGCTCTTCCCTAGCGATCACGATACTTCCTATTTGGAGTTGGCAATTCTTGGTTACCACGTCGCCGGATAAATCAGAGTGCCACACAGCTGAGCTATTTTGGCCAACACTGCGATGAGTGAACACTGAACAAGTCTTACCGTTTGGCCTAATTACTCACTTCGCCTTGGAGTACATTATTCTGTACGCGAGACATCCAGCTTGTGAATTGTGTGATAGAGACAATTCACCGAGTGCAACTGCGCTGCTCGCGCGCCGAGGGAGCCTGCGACCATGGCGTTTCCAGTTCCCAACTTGTGAGGTGACCGATGGGGATGAAAATCCTTGCGATTTCAAGAAGGGAACACGGCAAAAGTACAAGCTGATTCGGAATTGGGACGTGAGTAGCTTTCTCAGCGGATAAGTTGACTTTGGTTCCCTCATATATATATATATATATATATATATATGTCCAATCTAATTCATATCCTGTAACCACAATACCAGATATCCTAACTCTCCAATTATTGAAATCAGTGTAATTTGACTCCCTCAACGGATTTGAGAGTGGTTTTTTTTTTTTCTGACGTGGCACGTTGACCCGCTCTAACCGGCTACGTCATCATACAGGTCCCACGTGTCAGTGTCACATTCTCTCCTCCTTTTCTCATTTCCCGACACGATGCACCTAGCACGACAATGGTTGTGTCCTCCACCAAGGCACCGTCGACACCCTCCGCTGCTCTCTCGCCTCCGCAAGTTCTCCATCAACTCTGTGGATGCGCTCTGGCGCCACTTCCGAGCAGGTGAAGCAGCAGCCAGCCAGCTCCCGCGTGAGAAGGTGGCGGAGCCCGTCGGCCTCTTCACCTTCCTGCTGTCATCAACCATGGAAGCGTTACCCATCTTCATGCAGGAACAGGAGATCCTGGCCAAGGAGATATCGTTGGGCATATACAGCATGACATCATCCACGGTGGTGTTCCTTCCGTTCCAACTGGCGCTGACCGTGGAGTTCACAGTGGTGGTGTACTGGATGGCGGGGCTTCGAAGCAAAACGTTCGGGTATTTTGTGGTGCTAGTGTGGCTGATGTTGTACAAGGTGAACTCGGAGGGGATTGCGGTGAAGAGATACGTCGGGTGACGAGCAGCGAAGGACGGACAGAGGGGATTGCGGCGAGATATGCGCGGAGGAGATTGCGATCGGCTCAGGGGCTTTGACGAGCCCCCTTCCCTCGAGGCCGCGCCGCCGTCGCTCCGCCTCAAGCCGTGCCGCCACTGCGCCTCATTGACGACGAGCCATAGATCCGCGTTGAGGCCGCGTCCCTCGTTACGCCTCAAGGCTGCCGCTCCGTCTCGAAGGGCACCATCGCTGAGCCTCGAGGCCACCACTCCGCCTCGGGCACGACATCATTACTTCGGGCATAGAAAGATCGACTAGCTCGCATTCGCACTGCATGTGACTCTGGCGGCATCAGCCGCCACACAAGTTCACGGAGCACAATGAAGGGATGGGGTTGCTGCGCAAACTCACTGGGTGGAGCCCCATCAGGGAGCCCTCTTCTCAGCCATCACTGCCACTCAGCCTCCTCGGTGAGAGATGGCTTTGCCTTAGGCCACGCCCATATCTGCCAAAGCCACTGACCACCCTCCCCGCTCTAGCTCGTCGGTGTCGCTGTCGTGCAAGCCACGAGAGAGTTAGTAGAGAGAGAGGAGAAAGGGGAGGAACGGTCCCTGCCCCATTCGTCCCACGCATTATTTTTATTATCGTTGTTATTGTAACGTCACATGAGACTTGAAGACAACTTTAATTTAACAAGTCGACGCCATGATCAGCGAAAACTACCTTTATAACCATTAGGGAGTCATTTTGCACCGATTTCCATGTAGAGGGTTCAAAATATCTGGTATTTTGGTTAAGGGGTATGAATGAGATTGTACGTGTAATTGAGGGAGTCGACTTATTCCTTTCTCAGCTTAAAATTTCGGCCCAAAAATATCTACCCACACTATGCAATGGGCCAAACATTTACAATAGAGGAGCCCAACCACACCGAGCCCACCGTAGACGCGACCTGTCGTCTTCTTCATTTGCGCAAGAAGACCATATGCCATAAGCCCATAAGGGCAATGAAGCCGTGCTCTACAATGGAGCGGTTCAAGTGGGTGCCGGCGGAGCTCCGGCAACCTCCGGCGAAGATCATTGCCATCGAAAGTACGCAAGTGTTTTTGACGCAAAATACAGCATTTAGCGCCTAGTTGTAAGTATTTGTCACGTATATCCTGCCATCCTGATATCCACCAAACAAAGAGCCCAAAAACGGCCCTTTTCTTCTCAAACAAAACTGAACTTGTTACACGGCAAACAAGCCTGCGGTGTACGGATAAAAGTCGAACCAAGCGTAGCGGAAGAACCGAGGTTGTGGCGGCGCGGCATCTTCCCAGACCACCGAAATCGCCTGGTCCTCCATGCCGTAAGCCATGATCTTGCCCGGAATTCCGAAGAGCAGCAAGCTACCGTGCTCGGCGACGTGCAGCGGCCAGAGATCCAGGCAGTCGACTAGCCTAGCGCGGCGCGGCCAGATCAGGTGGTGCTTCCGCGTTTTCCGCTGTATATCCGGGTACAACTCCTTCATGCGCGTGAGGTCGACGCGGTACAGCACGCGCCACTCGCGGCAGTCTCCCGCCATCCCCACCACGTCGAAGCGGGCGGCGAGCTTCTCCTCCTCCGTGTAGCCGATCATCCGGAGGTGGCCCCGGCCGGCACCAGCTGACTCCCCGACCCCGAGGTAACCGCAGATCCAGCGATTCTCCGGCTGCAGATGCCTCGCCGGCGGCATCGGCAGGCTGCTCAGCTCTCCTTCCCCGTCGTCGACGGCGAAGCGGAGCAGGGAGCGCGAGCGCGATGTCACCCACACCAGCGAGCCGTTCCAGTGCACGCCCCGGGAGTGGTGGATCCCCGCGAACGGGTTGCTGCCGCGCTCGTAACGGAGCGCCGCCCTCCATGACCGAGCCTGGGAGGAGTACACGTGGACGCCGGCGAGCCCCAGCGCGACGACCTTGTACACCGGCGACCTGGACGGGTCGTAAGCCAGGTTCAGGTGGCGCCCGCGGCCGTCCGGCGGCGTGGGTATCTCGACGAACCTCTTGGTGGCCGGGTTGCAGACGTAGTAGCAGCACCAGCGCGCCCCGGAGGCGACGCTGCTATCCATCGGCCGGCGGCAGAGGAGCAGCCCGTTGCACGAGCTGGTGACGTTGATCTTGCGCGGGACGGTGGAGCCGCTCTCCGGGACGAACGAGAGGTCGGGAGCAGCGGGATGCGTGGCGCTACTGTCGCGTAGAGGATTGTAGCTGAACTTCTTGTGGAGCTCGTTGCTGAGGAAGAAGCCGGCAACGGAGTGGCCGTCTCTGCTCCTCGAGAAGTTTGTGTGCATGAAATGGTGCTCCGATGTCACGGCATGCCATTGCTTGCAGACGAGCCGCATACGAGCGGCATTCTTTGGAGGAAGCCAGGCGAGGATGTTGGCGATGATATCGTCGGAGAATAATATCGCCTCCCCTGCCATTTGAGAGTTGACACAGGGCTGCAAGAAGCCCAATTAAGAACTCAAGAGGGACCCGAAAAGAGATGAAGAGGATGTTGTTCTTTAATCAAAGCACTTTGTATATGTGATTAAGAGGAACATTTTTTTTATTAGAGGATGTTGTTCTTATCCGGCTGGCCGGCTCGCAAAATTCCTTGCTGATATCGATAACTTAGATCGGAGCTCGCTCTCACGTGGAATCACCTGACAGCGTCCTTGTTTTTATTTGTGGTGAAATAAAATATGCAAAGTAGCGAATTTATGTGAAGAAGAACTTTAAATCCTTAAAAAATTGTGAAGTGATATATTACATATTAACCTATCTTGTGATTTTTTTTGGAATTTTTTCATAATCATGTAGGTGGCATGCAAGAAACGGGTGGACTTCTAGGTTAATATGTAATATATCACTTCACAAACATGCAAGTTCAAATTCGACTTGTACAAGTTGTAACAAAAATAACAAATCTGACTGTGAATATACGTATACTAGTTAGAGTTTGATTTGTTATTTTTGTTACAACTTATAGAAGTCGAATTTTAACTTGTATGTTTGTGAAGTGATATATTACATATTAACCTATCTTGTGATTTTTTTTTAGAATTTTTTCATAATTATTTAGGTGGTATGCAAGAAACGGGTGACGTCCACCATCCTCGAAGATCTCGGTGTTGTCGGAGACGTCTCCGCTGACAACGGCTGAACAACTCTTCAAGCTAAAGCCTGATAAACTCATTTTGGACCAATGGTGAAAGGAACACGCCGATTAACTGATGAAACGATCGTAAGCACACAGATTCATCACGTATGCCAATTCATTAATGCTGAAATGTGGAACCTTACATGACAGCAGCTTGCAAATACCCAACAACTAACTAAGCTGGAGCATGTATCCAGCGCGTACTTATTACTTATTCTAAGCAAGGATAATCGAAAGCAACTCAACTAGCCTGTAAGCCAAGAACAGAAGCTCGTCATGAACAACAGACAAAGGAGAACACGCGACTACAATCTCTGCAGATACACAGCCGACGAGCAATGCGACTGCAGAGACAGCGGGGCTAGCATGCACTAGCAGACCTTCTTGCAGAAGCACTTGCGCTCGAGGCCGTGCGACTTGCACTCGCCGTCGGGGAAGCTCTCCGTCCTGCACACGTTGGCGCAGTTGTTGCTGCTCACGCACATGCCCTTGAACCTGTGGCTCTGCGACAGGCAGTGCCTCGCCTCCGCCACCTTGGTCGTCCCCATCTCTGCACACACAACCACACAACCATCACACATTGCACTGCATCCGTGCATGCAAAAAATTGCTTAACGCAGCCAATGTAGTGCTCGACGAGGAGCACGTACCTGTGGCGACGAGGATGGCCAGGAGGAGGAAGGCGGACGCGACCATGCGACGAGACGGAGCCATCTGTACCGGCGACTCGAACTGCGCTCACTGATGAGTGATGAGGCTGCTACTTTGCTACTGCCACCGGTGCTGTGCTAGCTCTTGGTTGATGGGCAACGGATGGACGGGAGGGGTTTATATAGGGCAACCCAGATAATAAAGACGAGAACAAATTAATGTTTAAGCTGCGATGATCCAAAACTATAGAGTGATTCACATGTTGCTAAGCTGGTAGCTCACCGCCCCTAATGCATTGTGGACCAAAAAAAAGAAATTCTAACAATTCGAGATTCTACTGGAGCAACAGTACAAAACGCCACCGGCCCAATGGGCAGCGGCCACTCCGGCTCTGCCAATCTGACGTGTACCTCGAGCTCGAAGTGGGCAGCATAGTGCTACTCCTTTTATCTTTCACGGGCCACGCTTACCGCTGATGGCAAATTGTGGACTTTATCGGGTTGTTGCAACATTGCTCAAGAAACAGGGGAAGGGGGGGCTCGCACGCGCAACATGCTCGCTGAAATGCTGAGCTAGCCGGTCAGGCCGGGGCCCGTCCTATCGAGAGCATTCAGGGTACGGCTGATTCCAAACTGGTGGCTGGCAAGCCGCGGATCGGAGGTCGGAGGAGAGCAGCAGGAGCGCTCGTGACGAGATTGGGCCACGAGCTGAGCGCCCTGAGCCTGACCGATCGACAAGCAGGCGTGCGCCACGCGTGGACCGTCATCTTGGCCACGTTTGGGGTGGCAGATCGATCGATCGCACTCCATATCAAAGTTTCATCTAACCCGTTGTGGATGGGGTTGTCGTCATTCAACTTAAAACAGTTATCGCGGTAACCGTTTGTTTACCTGAAATCCATACGGTTACCGTAAAAATAATCGTGATTTTAGAAATTGAGAAGGTGTGATAACCTGCAAACCATGCTCCCGACGTGGGATTTTGTGCGCTGAGGAAGAAAAAGAGACGGTGAAGTAGTAAAACTAAACGAATTATTATACTATGTAACTTAAGTCACATGACTTTCAGCCACTGGTATTCTATATCTTGTTTGATTCTAAAATTACCAGATTTAAGTTATGGATCTTAATCCAAACTGAACGTGCTCGTGTTCCGTGCACAACACTGTCCGCTACTGCACATCAAATCCCCAGTGTGCCGACGCGTTTCGTCCATTCGAGTATACAAGGCGAACAGCAACACACGGCCCATAGGCTTTTGTCTCAAATCTCAATGCCCATCTGCTGCCGGAATAAGTTCATCTGAGATCCCTTAACTTGTCAACAAATCCGATTTTCATCCCTCATCCGGAAAACCAGACACAATAGGTCCCTCAACTATCAAAACCGGTGCAGATTAGGTCCCTCGGCGGTTTTGAGGACGGTTTTGGCTGACGTGGTGCCTATGTGGCTAATTTGACTCGGTTTTCATCTGACGTGGCATTGACGTGATGCTTACGTGCAATTCGATCCGGAAAAAATAATAAAACCCGTGGGACCAACATGTCAGTCTCACACAGAAAAGTTTACTTTAGACTCCTCAATTTATCTCCGAGTCTTAAAATTGAGGCCGATATGTGTTGTGTTCTACCGGGCCTGGACACTGCTGCATCTTCACGGTTGTCAAGAGCGACAACCAAGAGGCAAGAGCCCATATCGTTGAAAATGGGCAAGAGGACATCGTCTCGAAAGAAAAGGAATAAGTTCACTTAGGGTCCCTCTATTTGTCGCCTAGTCTGATTTTCGTCCCTTAAACGCAAAACCGGGTACAACCCGTCCCTCAACTTATGAAAACCGGGCAAACGAGGTCCCTCGACAGTTTTGAGGGCGGTTTTGGCTGACGTGGCGCCTACGTGGCTTGTTTGACTAGTTCTCCGTCCTACGTGGCATTGACGTGGCGCTTACGTGGCATTATATCTTGAAAAATTAATAAAAAAACATGGGACCACCTGTCAGATGCACACAAAAAATAATTTTAAAATAGCGGGGCCCACATGGGCCCACAAGTCAGATAATAAATATAGTGGGGCCCACATGGGCCCCACACGTATCTCCCTCTCTTCAACTCTCTCTCTCCCCTCTCCTCTCTCGCGGTGGAGAGGCAGCGGCGCTCGGCGTGCGGCGGCCGGCGGGAGAGGAAGGGGCGGCGGGAGGTGGCTCTAGCTGCCGCAGCCGTTGAGCCCACAGAGCGTCGGCGAGCGCGCAGAGGAGCGTCGACCCGGCGGCGGGGGGAGCGGCCGCGGCGTCGTTGTCCGCGGTAGCGCTGCCAAGGCAAGCGGAGCCGCTGGTGCGGTGGCTACTGCAGCCGGCCGACTTCCTCCACCGATGGGGCGTCGACATCCGCCGGGCTCCGTGGCCACAGGACGTCCCCATCCGCCGGGGGATGGGCCCCTCGCCGCCGCCCGTCTCTCCACTTGCCGACCCCCGAGCTCCTCCGCCTACGCCGTTGCCGGTCGCTGGATCTCCTCTATCCTCTACTCCAAGCCGTTGCCGGGTGGCCGGATCCCCTCCGAGCCTGGTCGATGGGGCCTCGCCTCATGCTGTTCGCTGGGGCACCGAGGACGGCGCTCGTCACCGGCCTTTGCTCCGCTCCACAGCTGGTCGCCACCGTCGACCTACGCCCGGCCGGGCGTGGTCCACTCTTGCGTCGTCACGGCGGGAGCGGGAGTGGCGGAGGACGGCGGGAGCAGCAACAAGGGAACCGTCTTACCCCGAGCGGCCACGGCGGGTTAGGGAGGTGGGTGGTGCCGCCGGTCGCCGGGCTGCGGCAGTGGCTGGGGTCATGTCGTCGCCTCGTCGGTGAGTGCCGGCGGGCGCGGGCTGCGAGGATGCGGTGGAACAGGGCGGTGGAGGAAAGGGGGGGAGAGAATGACATGTGGGGCCCACGTGGGCCCCACCTTTTTTATAATTTCTATGTGAAACTGACATGTGGGTCCCGCGAGGTTTATTTATTTTTCGGGTTGAAAATTGCCACGTAAGCGCTACGTCAATTCCACGTGGGACGGAGACCTAGTCAAACAAGCCACGTAGATGCCACGTCATCCAAAACCGCCTTCAAAACCGCTGAGGGACCTCGTTTGCCCGGTTTTCGTAAGTTGGGGGACGGGTCGTACCCGGTTTTGCGGTCGAGGGACGAAAATCGGACTGAGTGACAAATAGAGGGACCCAAAGTGAACTTATTCCGAAAGAAAATATGGAAAGATTAAGAAAGGGACGGCCTATCTTAGATAAGTTTTTAAAAACATTTGCAGAAATGCAAAAGCAGCGCCTAGATAAATTGCGATCGTACATATTTCATAGAGTATAAAGGCATCGAGCTTATGCTATCCTTTTGCTGTCCGTGTCACCTGGCACTTCAAAAGCTCAAAGTTTGCGGTGAAAGTGAGCGAACAGTTTACCATGTATTTACTGGCAAAGTGCCGAACCATCTAAGCTAAGAACGCTGGAAACAAAGGGGTGAATATGATATAGTGAGTTTCTCATTATTTGAAAGGGCCTTTCTTCAAAATATGTAGAAAATTATAAAAGCGTCATTTGATTATGGAAACCGACCAATCGATCGAGGTAGCTGCAATTTACTGACCATAATACGTGCCCCCACTAATCCTTTGTCGAGCTTTTTCTTCTTTGGGTTTTTCACGCGTTCGAATATGCGTTCTTTATACTCCTTGACGAGTTAACACCACCAAAGTCCTATTTCTTTCCTAGTGTTGCCGGCCTCTTTTACCACCACTGATGAAATTTGTAGTGCTAGTATAATTCAACTATGCAAATAGATGGCCTTTTTGTTAGCTAGAGTATATGCAAGTTGTCATGTTGGTCTGCCCTTTTTAACTTTTAAGTTGGCTTATTTCCTCTGCCGCTTGAGAATTGAGATCATCCAGAAGGCTAGCTAGTGTATGTGCCCTTTTCTTTGACATGGAGGACTTGGTAGTACCACTACTTTACAGTCAGGTTAATCACCAACAAATATGTTCACCCTCTTTTATACTTGTGGCACTTACATTCATAACCTAAGGTCATCGATGAAGGCCGCCTTTGCAATAGCTGCTATATATACACATGGAGCACCAAGCTAACAGTTTAGCAAATATATTACCAAACCACCCACAATATAAAAATAGACGATTAATGCGGTACCATATTCTGCACGCACACTGGCACACGACTAATTAACCGAAGATTCGATGCACACACACATTCGGAAAAGAACAGGAAAGGTCAACCCAAATCGCACCGCGCGCCAGCCAGTCCACCTCGCTAATTAACGTTCCACCAAAAGGCACGGACGAACCGGAGTCCACTGTATGGTGGAGTCACGCAACGGCAAATCAGATCGGCCACAACTCGAAAAAAATCGCTGATCGGCCACAACTCTTGCGCCTCCCACGCGCCGCGCGATTTTCGTTCAACGTTGTGTTAGATGTGGTGTGGTGGTGCTCTGACGAGCCGCGACCGCGACCCCCCGGTTGGTTAGGTCGTGACAAGGAGATAAAGCGGCCGAGCCGAGCCGAGCCGAGCACAACGAAATCCTCCGCGAAATGGCGGGTCCGCGCGGTGGTGGCGGTGGCCGTCGCTCGTGGCGTGGCACACGTCGCGCTCGCGCGGTTTTGCCTTGCCTTTTTTTTATATCTTTTCCCCGCGCGTTCACTCGCTGACGCTATCTGCATCTGATCGAATCGATCAGGGCGCACGAGCGAGCGAGCGAGCGAGCGCGCGAGTGGTGGCGGGCGGCTGCGTGATCGTGGGCACGGTGGGGGTGATGTCAGGGTGCGCGGAAAATCTGATTGGGGGGAACCGGAGGCTTTGGTGGCCACTAACGTGAGAAAACTAGCATTATCTCCGGTCGGAAGAGGATCGAATCGATCGGTGTGGTGGTAGACCACAGGGTTTAATTGGAAGATGGCTGTTAGTGGCCAGTGTGCTGTTGTGTGTTTACAGCGAGATAAGGCGCACCATTTCGGCTAGCTAGTACCCAGCCACGTACGGGAATCAGGTTCCGCGACTTCGATTAGTTTAGCTGACAGGCTAACCTTGCGCTATGATTGTTAATCGATCGCGCGGATATGTTAACCTTTTGCAAAAGAGACCGAAGAGATACGCACTAAAACATACTTCCTCCGTTTCATGTTATAAAACTTCATAACATTATCCATATTCATATATATATGTTAATGAATATATATATATATATATATATATATATATATATATATATATATATATATATATATATATATATATATATATACTAGCATGGTGGCCCGCGCAGATTGCGCGGCTAACATCATTATATTTTTTTCTCATATAATAGCATATATGTTTTCTCATTATATTTTTCAAATATATTAAAATGACAACATAATTTTAAATTTTGCAATAACTTTACAAAACTACTAATGTGTAATGTTCATATTATATTTAATATATGTGTTAGTTATTAATTATTTTTAGTATCAAATTTTAGTTATTTGTAAATTATATATATTCCTATATGGACTCTAAACTCGTCTTTTAATATTTATTTTTTTATTTCCAAATTTTCTTTAAATTGTATTTCTATATAGACTCTATGCTCTTCTTCCAATATTATTTATTTTTATTTCTGAATTTTTATTATTTCTAATTGTATTTTTATATGGACTCTAAACTCATCTTTTAATATTCTTTAATTTTTAATTTCGAATTTCAGTTACTTCTAAATTGTATTCCTATATTGACCTTAAAATCTTCTTTCCATGTTTTTCTTAATTTCGAATTTTAGTTATTTGTAAATTTTATTTTTATACAGACTCTAAACTCTACTTTTAATTTTATTATGTTTATTCCAAATTTTAGTTAGTTTTAAATTTCTATATGGACTCTATATTATACTTTCTAATATTCCTTATTTTTTAATTCCGAATTTCTATTTTTTTCTTAAGTGTATTTCTATATAGACTCTATATTCTACTTCTAACATTCCTTATTTTTAATTCCAAATTTCTATTATTTCCTAATTGTATTTCTATATGGAATCTATACTTTACTTCTTATATTCCTTATTTTTAATTCCGAATTTCAGTTATTTCCTAATTGTATTTCTATATGGACTATATACTCTACTTCTAATATTCCTTATTTTTAATTCCGAATTTCAGTTATTTCCTAATTGTATTTCTATATGGACTCTAGTCTCCTCTTCTAATATTTCTTATTTTTTAATTCCGAATTTCAACTATTTCTAAATTTTATTTCTATATGGACTCTAGTCTCCTCTTCTAATATTCTTTATTTTTTTAATTCCGAATTTCAGCTATTTCTAAATTGTATTTCTATATGGACTCTGCGTTTTCTTTTTCTCCGATTAATGTGAGAATTTCTAGGCCATGAGAGTGAACATGGAGGCTCCGTTTTCTATTCCTTTAATAATATAACTAGCTAGGTGGTCCGCGCAATTGCGCGGCTAGCACCCAAACAAAATCATATATTTTTTAAGTATGATTTTACTTAAAATTTATTAAATAGCTATCTAACTATTTCATTGTCTTAAGACTTTAAAAGACCAAACCTTATCATCGTCGTGTTTCTAATTATATAGTTTTTAAAAGTCACACCAGTTGCTACCCTTTATGTCATCTTCTTCTTTATTTGCTTGCTCAATCTACCACTATTTTCATTCATTCTTCTTAGAACCTTTAAAAATTGGATTTTATAGTTTTTAGAGTTTATTGTCATGTTGGGTTTCATTTTTATAATTTCTAGATGTCCCATCAAACATTGCCATTATACTACTCTATGGCCCGTCCACTGTCTCTTCTCTTTGTTGTCATTGAGATTTTTAAAATCGAACATAATTATCGTTTGGGTTCATTTTTTACTTTCTAGAAGTCCCGCCAAACCGTCAGCGGCTTTGCTATTGTACTCCTCTATGGCTCGCCTGCTGCCTCCCTTCTTTATTGACATTGAGATTTTAAAATCGAACATGATTATCATTGGGTTTTTTTACTTTTTAGAAGTTCAAAACCTTTAAAAATTGGACTTGTAGTTTCATTTTTTTATAATTTTTAGAAGTCCCATCAAACGATGCCACTATGCCCCTCTACAGCCCGTCCACCGCCAACTCTTTATTGTCATTGTGATTCTAAAAATCGAACATAACTGCCGTTGGAATTCATTTTTTATTTTCTAGAAGTCCTGTCAACCGTCGGCGGCTTTGTAACTATACTCTTATATACCTCACCCGCTGCTTCTCCTTTTTATTATCATTGAGATTTTAAAAATTGAATATGATTATCAATGTTTTTTTTACTTTCTAGAAGTCCCGGCAATCGCCTTACTTGTTTGCTTCACGGCCTGCTTGACGTCTCTCATTTTAATCGTAATTAGAATTCTATTTGGTATTTTATTAACAATTTTTATATCTCGTATCAACTGCCACTACTCTACTTTTTTATAGGCATGTTACTTAATTTATCTCGTCATGTGTTTCAGATGGTCTTTTCTTTCAATAATCTTTATTTTTATCACAAATTTTAGTTATTTATAAATTGTATTCCTAATTGATATCTTATTTTTCTTTTTCTAATTTCAGAATTTTTTTAAAAAAATTTAGTTAATATCGTATTGTGTTATTTTAATGTTTTTATTTTTTATTTTCAATTTTCTAATTTTAGAATTTTTTCTAAAAATTTTAGTTAATATCGTATTGTGTTATTTTAATTTTTTTATTTTTTATTTTCAATTTTCTAATTTCAGAATTTTTTTAAAAAATTTTAGTTAATATCGTATTGTGTTATTTTAATGTTTTTATTTTTTATTTTCAATTTCAGTTGTTTCAAAATTGTATTCCTATTTGAACTTCTTTTAATTTTTCTAGTTTTAGATATTATTTTATTTTTATTCTAATTTTTAATTAATCTCGTATTGGATTTTTTTTTCAATATTGCTTATTTTTAATTTCGAATTTCAGATATTTTTAAATTGTATTTCTACTTGGACTCTCCTTTCCTTTTCTAATTTTTTTATTTCGAATTTTGATTAATCTCGTATTGGGTTCTTATATGGAAACTTCTTTCAATATTGCTTATTTTTAATTCCGAATTTCAGCTATTTTTAAATTGTACTTCTACTTGAACTCTCCTTTTTCTTTTTCTCCGATTAATATGGGAATTTCTAGCCCCACAGCGAACGTGGTGCCTCCTTTCAAAGCTGTTTTAATAATATAATAGATAGATAGATGTGAGCCATGCTAGAAAGTCTTATAATATGAAACGGAGGAAGTAAATTGCTAACACAGGGTATATATGACTGCCCCCTAAAACCTCTGGGTAAACATTTTTCTTCTACTAAAAGGAGATACACTAGAGAGTGGACGCAGTTTAGATACACTAGAGAGTGGACGCAGTCGAACTAAAGTGGATCCATTTTATAACCGCGTGTCGATCCGAGTCCCTTCCTAAATATGAGAAACTCATAGTTGTGCTTAGTGGACCTACAACTCCACTCGTATAAGACCGGTGGTTAAACATATACTATGTAAAAAAAAAAAGAGCAAACTTTAACTACATAAAAATATGATTAGATATTTTTTTAGGACAGAAGGGTATGTTAATAACGTTATATACATAAAAATAGGGGAGGGGGAGTAACTTCGTTAGTCTCGTAGCCTAACAATGGAACAATTTGATGGTTTCATTGCATGTACGACACAGAGCATTTGGAAAATCACGATATTGAGCGTGCAAGTTTTTTTTTCATAATTACTAAGAAACCATTTATTTACACGCAGCGTTTATCACACATCCAACCCTCCACGATCCATAATTTTACTACCCCCAGTAGGAGTTTCCCCCAACCTAATTTTGTTTTTAGTGGAACGACGTGCAAAATTCTAGTGTTGAAGTCCACCCTTCTGTCTCATGAGCAATACTGGTAATTCTTTCGTGAAGAAAAGGAGGCAAAGGAAAAGCATGAAAGTTACCTTGGATACATAGTTGGAGGGTAAGTGGTGGCGTAGCATTTCGGTAACTGGCAACGCCTGCCTGAGTGGCCATATAGGCGAAATGCACGCCATCAGTAAAGTTGCATCGTATCTGGCCAGTTTTTACTTTTGATAGGTCCATGTTCTTGTTCTTGTAAGAAGACAGTCTACACACTTCAACTGCGGAAGTTACTGATGCCCGCCAGCTGTTAAGTAATTTCACAAGAAAGCGATCTGTTAGCAAGGAAGCGGTGAAATCTGCAATCTAATTGCAGCAACAGTTAAAGTTTCATAATCTTTTAAAATAATCACATGTTTGCCGTCTTGCTAATGTACCTATCAACTATCGAGTCCAATTTTGTCTCTTTTATTTCCTCAAAATAATAAAAAAAATTAGGTGATTGTACTTGAATGGATTTTTCCAGAGAGACCCTCAGCCCAATCAAATTAAGGGCTCCTTTATGTCGCAAAAACAAAAGACTCTTTTGAAACACGAGAATTTATTTCATATGACAGCTCATTTCCACCAAAATTTCAATGAAATTCCTCTATTTTAAATAGTCATAGGCCGCATGGTACTACCAAATGACCACCTTGTCTTGGTGGCTTCGTCAACCACAAAGCTTTGGACCCAAGCCGCCGCCGAGCCTAGTAGAGTAGTAGTAGACCAAAACTCAGACGCAAAGCAGCAGAAATTTCTCCGGTCCTTGGCATTGTACAAGCTCCAAGTTTTGAGTTTTTGGAGCCGTGCATGCCGTGCGTATTCTCCCTAGCACTAGCAGTCGGGTCGGGGCGTTGGCCTGGCATGGCCGAAAGCGGCTGCACACGTGTCTCTTGCCGCTGGCGGTTGACTTTCCTGCCAACCTTCCTATACATAAGCCGTAACCATGTCGCCATCGTTCACCAAATTTCCTGCAGAATGTCCAGCTACAACATCGCATACTTTTCAGCTTACAAGCTACTGTAAAAAATATATAAATTTTAAAACTTAATTTTAAAGATGTTTTTAATATTTCTTACGATAATTTATTTTTAGTATTTGCTTTTCGATCGTCAATGACGAATATGCAAAAGTTTTAGCTATAAATTATTTTTTTATAAACCATAACCGTTACGGCTTATAATCAGTTATGGATCGAAAAAATGAGTACCAATTTTTGAAGAAAAAATTCAGCTGTCACATTGATTGGCTTGGCTAATAAGCTGTAGACAAATAAACAATACTATGAAAAATAATTTAGAATAAAATTTTCATTTTTTTTGTTATTTTTAGTGGTGCAAAAGCCAAGGAAAAAAACAGAAGAGGATAAAAAACGACTAGAATAATTTAAAATTATGTTTGAAAATTTAAATTTTAGACGCGGCTTATAAGCTAATAAGCGAGCCTAGCAATTATAGGGAACTGCTAGCTATCTATCCCCTGATAAAACCGTAGCCATTCATCTATGATTTCCATTTTGACATTATGGCCATGGCTAGCGTCAACTAAGTGCAGATGTAATGATGTTTGCAGCAATATGGTTAGCGTTTTCTGAATGCCCTTTGAGCAATTTGTGGGGTAATATCTTCAACGGCCTCGCTTTCACTATTTCTGAGAAGTAGACACGAAGGGGACTGCGAATAGTGTAGTTATCTGGTTCTATAATATCTATTAATATCCATGTGGTATGCAGGTTCTATCCTTAGAATGACCTGCTATCGTGCTAGTTATAATAATCATCTCAATAAAAACTGCCGAAGGGAAGGAAAGCGAGAAAGAAAAGGATGGTTAGGCCAATTTCGAAAAGAAGTCAAAAGATCTCCGACCATGGATTGTTCGAGCAAGTTGACAGGGACAATCAATTCCCCGAAGAAAAATTGGGTCTCCTCCAGCTGAGTGCCTACACAATCACAGGTCAAAACCGGAGCACGCCACGCCGCCCCCTGACCTCTCCCTACTACTGTCGTATCGTCTCCTACCTCGCCTCTCTTTCCTTTTTTCCGTCGATTCACCATTGTTGCTTGGGGTGCAAGCGCCCAGCAGAGGCCAGTTTTACGCACCAAATGGCTTGCATATCACATATCTCCTGAAGAAGACCAAACGAGAAGCCATCTTCACTGCCCAGTCCGTGCCCGGCACCATCAGCATAGCTCTTCTTTCTTCTATGGTGTGTTCCTTGATGATGCAACTCACCACCACATGGCCATGGCGTTTCTTTTTCTGCTTGTTTTTCCACCTGCTGTTCCTCTTCCCAACCAACTCCTTGAATCAAAGCTACTGTGACCCTGGTGATGCTAGTGCACTGCTGGGCTTCATGCAAGGTCTCAGCGGAAGCGGCAGCGGCTGGACGGTCCCAAATGCCACTTCTGAAACAGCCAATTGCTGTGCTTGGCTTGGAGTCAAGTGCAACGATGGTGGCCGGGTCATCGGGCTGGACCTCCAAGGCATGAAGCTAAGGGGCGAGCTGGCAGTCTCGCTCGGGCAGCTGGACCAGCTCCAGTGGCTCAACCTGTCCAGCAACAACCTCCATGGGGCCGTCCCGGCAACCCTGGTCCAGCTCCAGAGGCTACAACGTCTTGATCTTAGCGACAATGAGTTCTCTGGTGAATTCCCGACCAACGTGTCTCTCCCAGTGATTGAGGTCTTCAATATATCCCTCAACTCATTCAAAGAACAGCATCCCACGCTCCATGGTTCAACGCTCCTTGCCATGTTTGATGCGGGGTACAACATGTTCACAGGGCACATTGATACCAGCATCTGCGATCCAAATGGAGTGATCCGTGTTCTCCGGTTCACGTCGAATCTCCTATCTGGGGAGTTCCCAGCAGGGTTTGGGAACTGCACAAAGCTCGAGGAGCTATATGTTGATCTAAATAGCATCACTGGGAGCTTGCCAGATGATCTTTTCAGGCTGTCTTCGCTGAGGGACCTGTCTCTGCAGGAGAATCAGCTCTCTGGTAGGATGACACCAAGGTTTGGTAATATGTCTAGCCTTTCTAAGCTGGACATATCTTTCAATTCATTCTCTGGATACCTTCCAAATGTTTTTGGTAGCCTTGGCAAGCTTGAGTATTTCTCTGCACAGTCTAACTTATTCAGGGGTCCGTTGCCTTCATCACTGTCCCATTCACCATCACTGAAGATGTTGTACCTGAGAAACAATTCATTCCATGGACAGATCGATCTCAATTGCTCGGCAATGTCACAATTGAGCTCACTTGATCTTGGCACAAATAAGTTCATCGGCACAATAGATGCTTTGTCAGATTGCCATCATCTGAGAAGCCTGAATCTTGCCACAAACAACCTCACTGGTGAAATCCCTAATGGTTTCAGGAATCTTCAGTTTCTAACCTATATCTCACTTTCAAACAATAGCTTCACAAATGTGTCCTCAGCATTATCTGTCCTTCAAGGCTGCCCAAGCCTAACAAGCCTCGTGCTGACAAAGAATTTCAATGATGGGAAGGCCTTGCCGATGACTGGAATAGATGGTTTTCATAACATCCAAGTGTTTGTCATTGCTAATAGCCATCTTTCAGGATCAGTACCTTCATGGGTAGCAAACTTCGCACAATTGAAAGTGCTGGATTTGTCATGGAATAAATTGTCTGGGAACATCCCTGCATGGATTGGCAATCTCGAGCATTTGTTTTATTTGGATCTTTCTAATAATACACTGTCTGGAGGAATTCCGAACAGTCTAACAAGCATGAAGGGCCTTCTTACATGCAACAGCTCACAGCAATCCACAGAAACTGACTATTTTCCTTTCTTCATTAAAAAGAACAGGACAGGCAAAGGGCTACGGTACAATCAGGTTAGCAGTTTCCCGCCCTCCCTAATTCTCAGCCACAACATGCTCATAGGTCCCATATTGCCAGGCTTTGGGAACCTTAAGAACCTGCATGTCTTGGACCTCAGTAACAACCATATTTCTGGTATGATTCCTGATGAGCTATCAGGCATGTCGAGCTTGGAATCCTTGGATTTGTCACATAATAATCTTACTGGAAGCATTCCTTCTTCATTAACAAAGCTGAATTTTCTATCGAGCTTCAGTGTGGCATTCAATAATCTAACTGGTGCAATTCCATTAGGAGGGCAATTCTCAACATTCACAGGTTCTGCTTATGAGGGGAACCCCAAACTCTGTGGCATCCGCTCTGGCTTAGCACTATGCCAGTCATCTCATGCTCCTACCATGTCTGTAAAGAAGAATGGAAAGAACAAGGGTGTCATATTAGGAATAGCTATTGGCATTGCACTTGGAGCAGCATTTGTGTTGTCTGTTGCTGTTGTACTTGTGTTGAAGAGTAGCTTTAGAAGGCAGGACTATATAGTTAAGGCTGTTGCAGATACAACTGAAGCTCTCGAGTTAGCACCAGCTTCATTGGTTCTTTTGTTTCAGAACAAGGATGACGGCAAGGCAATGACTATTGGTGACATATTGAAATCTACAAACAACTTTGATCAGGCAAACATCATTGGTTGTGGTGGCTTTGGTCTAGTGTACAAGGCAACACTACCAGATGGAGCAACGATTGCCATCAAAAGACTGTCAGGCGATTTTGGCCAGATGGAGCGTGAGTTCAAAGCCGAGGTGGAGACTTTATCAAAAGCTCAACATCCTAATCTTGTACTTCTGCAAGGTTATTGCAGGATTGGCAATGATAGGCTACTGATCTACTCTTACATGGAGAATGGTAGCCTAGACCATTGGCTTCATGAAAAGCCTGATGGTCCATCTAGATTAAGTTGGCAAACAAGGCTTCAGATAGCAAAAGGAGCGGCGAGAGGTTTAGCGTACCTGCACTTGTCATGCCAACCCCATATACTCCACCGTGATATCAAGTCAAGCAACATACTTTTAGATGAGGATTTCGAAGCTCATTTGGCTGATTTTGGGCTTGCTCGGCTTATTTGTCCCTATGATACACATGTAACAACTGATCTAGTTGGCACACTAGGCTACATCCCCCCTGAGTACGGCCAATCTTCAGTAGCCAATTTCAAAGGTGATGTTTATAGTTTTGGCATTGTTCTTTTAGAGTTATTAACTGGAAAGAGGCCTGTAGATATGTGCAAGCCAAAGGGAGCTCGGGAGTTGGTCTCATGGGTTTTGCATATGAAAGAAAAAAACTGTGAAGCTGAAGTATTGGACCGTGCAATGTATGACAAGAAGTTTGAGATGCAAATGGTGCAGATGATCGATATTGCCTGTTTGTGCATAAGTGAGTCACCAAAACTGAGGCCTCTAACTCATGAACTTGTACTATGGCTTGACAACATTGGTGGTAGCACTGAAGCGACAAAGTGAGGCAAATTCTATAATAGCAACCACTGTGGAAATCCATGTGATCAAATTCACCCCCACCCCTTTCTCTTTGTATTAAATTTTCTTCCACAGTGATGTGAGATATTGTGTGACGATCGTATACAAAATAAGAGTTCCGGGAGTCTATCTAACCTGCTAATTCAATAACAGCAGAACCTTTTGTTACATGATGTGCAGTAAATGCAATTTTCTGATAGGTAATGAAATATGTTTGCTTTTTTTTTTCATTGTTTTCTCTGAACTTTTGATATGTTGCTATGTGAGCTGTTGTAAGGAAGGACATAATTAAATGTTTCTTAATTCTTCGAACAGGTTTGGACACGCTGCACAGTTCAGTGTGTTCCTTACATTTCCCACCATACCCTACCCAACTTATAACTCAACATTGTGTCATTTTGGAACTTATAAATTAAAAATTACCATGACCGAGTACATGTACAAAATTTTACATTCCTATTTGCTGCAAGCTTTAGACAATTATTTGAGATCAAAACTAGTTGTCTTTGGACGCCCACTTTAAGTCCTAGCCTGCCAACCTCTTAGAAACGAAAACAACATGTTCAATATTCACCCGGACAATCACCGGGCGGTCGCCTCTGTTACCTTACCGCTGGCTAAACGCCCTAACAAACGATTCCCTTCTACATTTCTAGTCGTCGGACGTGAACTTCAGCTACACGGCGCAAAACAGGGAGAAGCAAAACAGCAATCAACATTGGATAATTTGGATGCTAAAGCATACCTGGTGGTAGCCCCTTGGGTCAGGCATTCTGTCGAACAGGTGGCATGCGCGTGAGGCCACTCGTGAGTCCAAGCCAGCCACCACCGTCCCGGCCGCCGAACCTGGCGGCGAGCGTGCAAGTCCCCTTCCCACCGCACACCCAAGGGCAGGACTCGCCATCGGTGGGCGTCGCCGTCGTCGTCGTCCACGGCTGTTGGATGTCACGGCCACACCACGCACGCGACGCGTACGGCGCACCCCCACCCCAGGAGTGGGGTCTTCAGGAGGAGATCCGCGACGGCGACGCTCAGGACGGCATTGCGGCAAGATGGAACTTGGCCGCTTTCCTCTTCAGGTGCATTGCGTCGAGACCATGTGGAGGGGGAGGGGGGGGGGGGGGGCATCCGCGGAGGCCGCCGTTCGCCGGCGACGCGAACTGGAGTGGACGAAGGCCGCCGCGGCAGTTGGCCTAAGAATTTTTTTTATTTATAATTTTTTTTATTAAAAGTTTTACAAAAATAATTTTCCATTTTGAAAATTGACGGAAGGAGTCGCCTACCGCCCTCTGGGAAATCGCCCTCTCAGAGGGCGGCGAAAATGACGTGGCAGACGGCCGTTCGCTCTCGGGCGACGGCCGTCAACGAAATTTGCAGGCGGCCCCCTTGCCGCCCTCCGCTAGGGCGATTTTATACTGTGCGGGGGGCCGCCTGCAAATTGGTGGCGAGGGGGGGCATGGAATTTTGCAGGCGGCCCCCTTGCCGCCCTCAGCTAGGGCGATTTTGTACTGTGGGGGGGGCCGCCTGCAAATGGGCGGCGAGGGGGGCATGGAATTTTGCAGGCGGCCCCCTTGCCGCCCTCCGCTAGGGCGATCTTGTACTGTGGGGGGGGCCGCCTGCAAATGGGCGGCGAGGGGGCATGGAATTTTGCAGGCGGCCCCCTTGCCGCCCTGGGGGAGGGCGATTTTTGCCTCTCCCCCTATAAAGCCCAGTCACTCCTCTGTGAAATTTCATTATATTCACTAAAAATCCAAAAAAAACAAAAGAGAGAGAGGGGAGGGCAGCAGAAGGGGAGCGGCGAAGCCCTGCTGGTTCGCTCAATTCATCACAGGTATGCTCCCATACATCTTTTGTGCATTTGTACTAATATGTTATGTTTGAGTATATATGTTGCGTTTTAGTTTTAGTTCCATATATTTTAGCACATCTGTAGCACACAGCACATATGTGTAGATCCAGAGCATAGAATATAATAGTATGAATTGAGACATAGACAGTAGTGTTAATTGTAAGATGTAGTTTAGTTTGATCTGGAGAATGTAACGTAATTTTAGAAATTTAGAGAACAATATTGTAGAGAATGTAACTTAGGGCGTAGTACAGAAATGCGAGGTTAACGCAGTTATTGTTTTCATCAGGCACAATGTCAAGTAAGGTCACATTTCAGATAGTTCACGGTGAAGGAAATATTAGATTTGGTCCAGATGGTGTTGATCTGTCAGATTTTGTAATGACATCTAAGGGCATCGATAGGCCTGCGGAGAGAACATTTCAGTCAATTTATAGTTGGTTGTTGAGAGGATTTAGAATAGACCAAGAAGTCTACACAATGTCAGTGTCAGTTGTAGTGAGTCGTGCAACAGAAGGTTATTTTTGGGAACTAATGCCGATGGACAGCACTGATGCTTGGAGACGGTATGTGGAAATGGCTTTTGAACGGTCATGGCCCCTCGTTATATTTGTGTCGGTACAAGAGAAAGATATAAATGTTTCAATGCAAACCGAAGATGTAGAGGGTCCTATCAATGCAGGGGATGTTGTTGGACCATCGATGCAAAATGAGGAAAATCAACCAAGGGAGGAGCAGGCTATGGGCATGGCGGATGAGGGGGAGAGAGTCGGTATAATTGTTGATGAAATGGAGAGGGAAGATTCGGATAATGAGGAAGTGGACGACGACGCATCATCCGATGAGGAAGGTGATGTAATGGCCACTGATTGGGCAAATGAGGACTTCTCTGGACTTGTTATATCAGAGGGTGATCATGTACCCTGGGAGTATAAGGAGAACGAGGTAATTGAGGGTGCAAGATATGCTCATAAGGATGAGATGAAGGAGGCGGTGAAGCATTGGGCAGTTTCCTTGCAGAGAGAGTTTAGGGTGGTCAAGTCAACAAATTATGTGTATGAAGTGAGGTGCATGAAGGAAGATTGTCCGTGGCGTGTCCATGCATATAAGGGTAAATGGAATGATTATTGGAAAGTTAGCATTGTGACCGAGCACAAGTGCTACTTACAAGGGGTGGAGAAGTATCACCGAAACATCACTTCAGCTTTTGTGGCAAGTGAGATGTACAGCAGTGTTGTTGGTAACATTGGCTTTGAACCAAAATCAATTATTAGGCACATCGAGAACAAATTCAAGTACACCATAAGCTATGCAAAGGCCTGGAGAGCCAAACAAAAGATCATTGAGATGAGGTATGGCACATTTGAAGCTTCTTATGATAATTTGCCTCGTTTGTTAGCCACCATTGCCCAGAGGAATAATAATACGTACTATGACCTACATACATTTACATCGGTTGATGATCGAACAAAGAGTGTGCTGCAAAGAGCCTTTTTCTCATTGGGTGCTTGCATCAATGCTTTTGTGCATTGTCGACCTGTTCTATGCATAGATGGAACTTTTATGATAGGTAAATACCGAGGTCAGATATTGACAGCAATTGGGTGTGATGGGAACAACCAGGTTCTACCTATGGCTTTTGCATTTGTAGAGAGTGAGAACACTGAAAGCTGGTACTAGTTCATAGAGAGAGTGCACATTGCAGTGGTGCGTATGAGGCCCAACGTTTGCCTTATACATGATCGTCATGCGGGTATGTTGCGGGCTATTGACTACTTGCAGAACGGTTGGGATGAGAAGGGACTTCCAGCTAAGTGGCCTGATGTTCGGAGTCGGTGGTGCATGCGTCACATGGGTGCAAATTTCTACAAGCAATTCAAGAACAAGCATCTTATGGAGCTCTTTAAGAGGCTCTGTGCACAGAACCAAGAGAAGAAATTTAATGAGTTGTGGGACAAGTTGGATGAGTTGACAACGAAGCAAACAGATGAGCAATCTCGCAGTCCACTAGTTGAAGGTGACGAGCCTCCCATACCTCTTGGTGCATTACATGATGACCCACCAACAATGAGAAGGAGGTCAGGGTCGTCCATCAGAAATTTCACTCAGTGGATTGAGAATGAGCCTAAGGAGAAGTGGTCTCTATTGTTCGACACCGATGGATCTCGGTATGGCATAATGACAACCAATTTGGCAGAGGTGTATAACTGGGTAATGCGAGGAGTTCGGGTACTTCCATTGGTTGCTATTGTTGAATTCATCCTTCACGGCACGCAAGCGTACTTTAGGGATCGATACAAGAAAATTGGTCCGTCCATGGCCGATGACAACATAGTGTTTGGCAACGTAGTGACAAAGTACATGGAAGATAAAATCAAAAAGGCACGGAGACATCGAGTTGTTGCTCAAGGCACACAAGTGCATCGGTATGAAATAATGTGTGTTGATAGGAGCAGGCGTGGTATCTATCGCAAGCAAGCCGTGCAGGAATGTGTCTTGAAGGCGGATGGTGGATGTACCTGCAGTTGTATGAAGCCGAAGCTTCATCACCTTCCTTGCTCACACGTTCTTGCTGCTGCCGGTGATTGTGGCATATCTCCCAATGTGTACGTCTCAAATTATTTCAGGAAAGAAGCAATCTTTCATACATGGAGTGAGGAGATATATGGGTTCGGGATCTCAGGATCTTACACAACGCTGAGTGCCCAAGTTTTTTATATTCCAGATCCATCTAAGTTAAGGGTGAAAAAGGGTCGACGCCAAACTAGACGCATCAGAAATGATATGGATGAGTCAGAAGCAGGTGGGAGGACTTTACGCTGCAGCAAGTGTGATCTGCGCGGCCATACTTACAAGAAATGCCCGAAGAATGCAGAAGTTCCAAGCGGCGCAGATGCTAGTCCATCTGGACAGGCAAGTGATGGTAGGCGACCACCTGGTGAAGGAACAACAAGCAGGCGCGCAAGGCCAAGGCGTCGTCGCGCAGCAGGCGATTCCATGGTGTAACAATGCTTTCGATTTAGGAAATAAAATGCAGTTGTGATGTAATGAGTGTTCGGACTAAATACTTCTATCGTGTAATTTCAATTCAATGTTGTTGTAATGAGTACCTCCGACTATTGTTGTACTAGTAGTATTGCGAATTATTCGGTGTTGTATCATAATATTATCGTGATGAGTGTTCCGAGTAAACACTTTTGTTTGTTTGTACTCTTGTTTAATATGTGTTAGTAATTCGCTTAGTTCAACATTTATTACTTATGTTGAACTAATTATTTATATGTTTCTGATCAACCTATTTGATGCAGGTATGGCGTACGACACACCGGCGCTGTTGAACCGTGGGATTGACAGGAACCACCGCTCGTTCCTGTCAGCAGTCGAGGGTGCACAGCTCGGCACCTTCCGTCCACGCACGTCGCGCGAGTGGTTGCGTGTCGACCCCCGTCACGTTCCTTGGTACGCGTATGTTCACATTTCAACTCAACTTTGCTTTGTGTTGTACTTATGTTTGAAGTTTGCTCTATACAGGTTGCGTGCGGCAGGCCTTCTACCACTTTGTAGGCTTGTTGAGGCGGCGGCGGACGACCGTGACCCAGCGAAGCGGTGGGATGCAGATCGGTCACTCCTTGCCGCTCTTGTAGACCGCTGGAGACCTGAGACGCACACGTTCCACCTTCCCTGTGGGGAGATGGCTCCGACACTGCAGGACGTGTCGTACCTGCTCGGGCTACCGCTGGCGGGAGCAGCAGTTGGTCCCGTGGACGGTGTTTTTGGGTGGAAGGAGGATATCACTGCGCGCTTCGAGCAGGTGATGCGCCTTCCACACCTAGGACCGACCACCACCCTTCCTCCGTACTCTACAGTCGGGCCTAGCAAGGCTTGGTTGCTCCAGTTCACTGTAAGTAAATAAGTTGTTATTATCATACGTGCTTATTTGCGACCGAATGAGTGTTTTGTACTAACATTTCATTCTTAATTGTAGGCGGACCTTCTACACCCTGACGCTGATGATTACTCGGTCCGACGCTCCCTTGAGGCGTACCTGTTGTGGTTGTTCGGGTGGGTGATGTTCACTAGCACCCACGGGCACGCTGTGGACTTCCGGCTGGTCCACTACGCACGGTCCATCGCGGATGCTCAGCCACAGGACGTGCCGCAGTGGAGCTGGGGTTCTGCCGTGCTAGCAGCCACGTACCGTGCCCTCTGTGAGGCGTGCACGAAGACTGACGCGGGAGCGATCATCGCTGGCTGCCCTATGTTGCTTCAGCTTTGGGCAGCCGAGAGGTTTGCCATAGGTCGACCAGTGGTGGACAGCGCACCCTATGGGGTTGGTCGCAGCGCGCAGTGGCCAGAGGACGGTCCCACGATGGGGACTTACTGGTGTCGACGTGGGGTTAGTGCAACTTCGCTGCGTTATAAGTTTATCAGTCGTCTTTTTTTTTCTTCACATAACATGTCTAATTCCGATCATGTTTATTGCAGCGTCGTTACGCTCACGTCCAGGTGAGACGTGGTTACCCGGACTTCGTGTTCGAGTTTGACCGTCTCCAGCCGAGCGACGTCATCTGGGAGCCGTACACAGAAGAGGCCGTCGCTGCGAGAGCACCGCTAGGACTTTCGTCCTTGTGCACACGCGACCAGGCTTACTGGCTCACCATCCTGCCGATGGTGTTCGACATTTTCGTTGAGCCTCACTGCCCGCAGCGTGTGATGAGACAGTTCGGACTTAGGCAGGTGTTTCCGGGCAACGTGCAGCCGACCGTCCTCCCTGCCGACCACTCGTGAGTTCGGATTGTTCATTTCTAAATTTTTATGATAATTACTTCATCGAGCCATATAATTTACCTCTCTTCACAGGTTGACTCGACGGGGACAGCTAGCAGGCGCACTTTGGGCTCCACGTGTACAGCAGTACGTTGACGACTGGGTGTTAGCTACAGAGGAGGTGATCAACGAGCTCTTCCCACACACGGAGGAGAACTACCGTGACTACCTTCGTTGGTACCTTCCTCGCACTCGTGCGCGTGTGACCTTCACTCCAGACGCCCCAGAGCCGCACGTTGCCGCTGTCACGGACGCGTATCCCACGCACCGTGACCGAGACTACTTCATGGCGGTACATCCAATTTGTATTATTTCTTACAATTATTTCATTTATCTTGCATAATATAGGGCAACTACTGAATTTGTTATTTCCATCTTGCATAGGCTGATGCCGCACGGGATATCAGTGCCGATATCACCGCAGTCCAAGTGAGGTTGAACAGAGGTTTGCACTTGACTGACGTTGAGCAGAGGGTGACCTTCGACCGGATGCAGGAGAAGATGCGTGCGGTCATGCGCGTCTTCTCCTGTCGCAGCGCCGTGGACGTCGTACCTCCAGCTGGTCCGGTACAACCACGGCCTCGCGCGCCTACCGTCGGAGCAGGACCTCGACCTACGGCACCTATTTCGCACGGTACTGCTCAGCCCAGAGGTTTCTTAAGTTTTGTTTCTGTTTTTGTACGAAAACATCACCCCGTCGTAACTTGATGATCCATCCTCGCAGGACCTCGTTTGCCTTCGAGCGCCCCTAGCTTCGGATCAGTGCGACCTACAGCACCGGTTTCGCACGGTACAGTTCAGCCCAGATATTAGTTCATTTTTGTTTCAGCTTTTGCACGATTATGTCACCATGTTTTAACTGCACGTTTCCTCATCGCAGGACCTCGTCTGCCTTCGAGCGCGTTCGCAGGCACGACCGGCGCTTCCACGAGCTCCGCAGGGGCGTTCGCCACCTCTTCGGGCGCGTTCGCCAGCTCTTCCTCTCACGGAGCGTCGATCCCTCGCCCACACGGTACTTTACTTTTTATTAATACTGTTAAATACCTGTACGAAACTGATGGTCCTTGTCCAGCAGGATTTGCAGCCGGGATCTTCGGTACTGGGGCCTCTTCGTCTCACGCCGGTAGGACTGGTCCTACTAGCCAGTTCTACGACGACGACTTGCACGGTGCAGACCACCACGACGTACTAGGCTCCTCTCAGCTTGGAGGAGCTCCAGAGGCACACACTCAGGAGCAGCCAGAGGTCACACCTGTACAGGCAGGACGGGTTGGCCGTGCCGTACCCCCGGACCGACTCACGTACTCCCACGGGCACATTAGGGCGCAGGGTAGGAGGGACAGGGGTAAGAGGCCTCGTTAGTAGTGTTCTACCTCTTCAGTCCTTATGTGACCGTTTCTTTTGGCTTACAAACTTGTAAAGCAGTACTACTTTTGCTATTACTACTGCAGTACTACTTGTGTTTGTCTCGTCTACATAGTTCTTTTTATTCATATGGTGCTAGAACAACTTATGCTCACGACAACACACTTTCGGCGCTGCACGGTAGTGTCAGATCCAGTAGCGCGCACAGTCCACAACAGCACACATGAAAAGCGGCAGCTCGAGTTATCACTATCAACTTTCGGCGCTGCCTGTTTACATCAAGTGAATCACGCCCACGCGTGATCGTCTTGTCACATCTAATGAATAATGTATCTCATTGAGTTCACATATATTGCAGTGAAAACGACGCTATATAATTGACAATATGAAGGCAACCTCTTCATATCTTCTTTCCCACTAGCACACAACACACGAAAATGGAAGCCTATTCATTGGTAATACGTAATCTAGATTTGAGATTATGTAGAACATTCTTCACTACAATTTTACATTTTGGCAGCAAACCAAATATGATCAAATGCAATTTTACCTTACCAAATATTTGGTCGTGAAGAAAAATTTGGCACTAACAATCCAAATATGCCCTAAAAATTAATAAAATATTTGTACGGTAACAAAATATTTGTACGGTAACAATCCAAATATGCCCTAAAAAATAATAAAATTGTATTTTACCAGTCTTGGAGATTTTAATCTTGTATAGTTTTCAATATAAAAAGATTTGATAACTATTGATATTTATACAAAAATATAGAGCACAGTACAAAATCGCCCTTGCGGAGGGCGGCAAGGGGGCCGGCTGTAAAATTCCATGCCCCCTCGCCGCCCATTTGCAGGCGGCCCCCCGCACAGTACAAAATCGCCCTCGCCAAGGGCGGCAAGGGGGCCGCCTGCAAAATTCCATGCCCCCCCTCGCCGCCCATTTGCAGGCGGCCCCCCGCACAGTACAAAATCGCCCTCGCGGAGGGCGGCAAGGGGGCCGCCTACAAATTTCGTTGACGGCCGTCGCCCGAGAGCGAACGGCCGTCTGCCACGTCATTTTCGCCGCCCTCTGGGAGGGCGATTTTTAAAAATCGCCTTCCCAGAGGGCGGTAGGCGACTACTTCCGTCAATTTTCAAAATAGAAAATTATTTTTGTAAAACTTTTAATAAAAAAAGTTAAAAATAAAAAAAATTCGTTGGCCTAACACCCAACGGCAAAGCCTTCGTCTCGGTAAATCTCCAGCCTCGCCGATGCGCTAGGCCCAGCAAAGGAGCGTGGCCCTTCTACATGAGTCCGTGGGCTCGTGCAGGCCGAAGTTTCCAGATGCAAGCCCAAAGACACGACAAAACAGAAGTAAAGCCCATGTTGGGTTAGACATATTGGCCTATAAAGAGGCCCATAAAAATATCTCTCTCTCTCTCTCTCTCTCTCTCTCTTCCTCTTTGTTTTTCTCTTTTTTTGTTGTTTTTTCGAAGGAGAAAATTTGCTTTTGAAGGGAATTCTCCTTTTTGTTGTTGCTCTTCCTTTAAGTAGTAGGAAATTATGCAGCGAGTTTGTTACTTCGTATCAACGCATGATTTGTGTCTGCAATCGTCATCCTGAATTCATAAAGCTCACTCTCCCACGCAGCCGAAGATCGATGATAGAGATAGAAACGCAAGATCACAATTCGAAAACACACAAAGCTAATTGCCTAATTTACATCTCCACAGACAAGCATGCAGAAAGTACTTAATAAATCGCACATAATAGTAACTATGATCTTCAAATTCACAAATTCTCCATATGAATATTACATACATGCAGAATGTGAAGGAAAATTAACCAAACTTGGAAGCACCAGCGGGAAGCAACATATGGCGGACATAGTTCAAAGGAATGGAGACCATATGCATGGATACATAGTACATAATAGTGCAGTAGAATCTATCCACGAGGCGAAATGCAGGATGCGAAGGCTGAATTCGTTGATCTAGTGCTGGACAGAGGCGGCCATCTTGTACGCGTATCTACACTTCAGCGCCACCTCGCGCGCGCCGCCGCCGCCGATCTCAGGCGTTGCTCCGGTAGGACCCGAGCTTGGCGGCGCTGGCCCTCAGCACGTACTGGTGGTAGGCGGCGGCGATGGCGGCGCCGATCAGGGGGCCCACCCAGAAGATCCACTGAACAAACACAAATAACATCATCGTCAGAGTTAAACGATAACTTATTATCGCCAAAGTAACAAGCTATCATTAGCCAATTGTTATTGCTGGCTGATTATCTTCTAATGATTTGATTAGTCATGGTTCCAGCAAGCGTATGTAGTTAAATGATCGATCAAGACACGGTGTACGGCAAACGGGTGGTTGCAGATGTTGGCATCTTCTAGGTGGCTGAAAGGTAGTGGGGATTAGGTTGTATATTGCGTTCAGGGATTGCGTATGTCATGCATAAACTAGACAAATTACACTAAACAAATCGATCAAATGACACCAGCCACTTCTTTTAATTTTCTACAGACTTATCCTGAGCCGTTCGTTTATTCATGCATTTGTCAGCTAGCTAATGAGCATGAGCAATAAGTCAGCACATTTCCTGTGTGTGTCACTGTCTACTTAGTTTGAAATATTGTTAACACGTACTAATAGATGGTTACTTGTGACCAAAGTTTGTTCTCAGTAGATAGTGATACTACTACTCCAGCAGCTTAATCAAGGTAATTACTAAGTCAGGGGTACGCACTTGGTCATCCCAGGCCTTGTCCTTGTTGTAGATAACCGCGGTTCCCAAGCTCCTCGCCGGGTTAATGCCGGTGCCGGTGATGGGGATGGTGGCCAGATGGACCATGAACACCGCGAATCCAATTGGGAGAGGAGCCAACACCTGATGAACACATCAACAAAAACGTTAAGGCAAAAATCATCATGCAAACATGTTATATGTTCGACATATACTGATGTCAAACAGCCAATGACAAAACAGAGTACAATAATTTATTTCGTTCCAAAACCATCTCCAACCCAAAAGTGACCCAAAGTGGATTATGTTTTTTCTGTTAAAAATAAAATCGTCCGTGGTCCTGGAAATGAATGGTTCACGGTATCTGAAGGAGAAGTATATCTGTAGGATGCTGTGTTCGTTTCATATCGTCAGAAATTTCTCTTGGAATTTTGCTCTTTGTTCCTATCCATAGATCAATATATGTCCTCATTAAGTACCGACCATTTGCGATTTGCCACCTCACGTTTGCTGCGGACGATCGACAGCAAGACAGGGACTACTAACAGTGCGCTGCCTACGCGAGGGAATCGTCCTATCTGTTTATTGGCATGCAATGCAGCAATGCATATCCGGCAAGAAGATACAACGGCGTAGGTGTCTGATGTTGACTGGAGTGTAATGCACAATTAGGGTCACTTCTATTGTCTGATTAAGTTAATTTGTAAATTAGGCGTCATTAAAATGCTTAGTTAATTTGTCAGGATTCATGAACTTGCACGGCCTATTAACTACTGCACTCTGTTTAATCAGGTAATGTAAGACTCGAGAGTTATCTTCTGAAGAAGTCCTGTCTGTCATTATACAGGCGAAGGCGAGGGGTGGGATGGTTTAGCTTTGAAAGGAAATTAAATTGGGTATATGTTTGATTACCAGTACATTACCAAAATTTATAAATTAAAGGCAAAAAAGGTTCATATACTTTACGTATGTAGTTTGTGACCTTATCAAACTTTGGCGTGGTAGTTTAATTTTGAGAGTGGAAGGTTCCGGATTACAGAATGTTGATATTGTGTTGTGATGATGATTAGTGTTTTTCTTTCACCTAGCTATCAACCAAAACGATTATTTCGTCAGAAAACAAGAATAAACTCTTCTTCCACCTAATTATTTATTTATTGTTAAATGTTATATACTCTCCTTCCACCTAACTATTTTTTTTGTTTTTTTTCTATTTTAATGAAGCTAATTAAGTTCGCAGCTAGAAGTCTCTGAAAATTAGCTGTAGTGTTTCTTAAAGCTTTGATGATCTGGGAGAACTGTTCAAAGTCTTACTGTGCATCAACATAGTTCAGTACAGTGCTACTCTATGAGTGTCTTATACGGGCAGCTGTACTAAACGTTTTCTCCATACTAATTATATAGTTCATGATTATATATATAATATATCTAGTTTCTACAGTATACTGAAGTAGGACTAAACACTAAATTAAGAGCAATTTTACAGTTCTCTTGGTACCTAGCTAAAGCTATTATGAATACTAAATTTATAATATAAAAAGTGAAAAATCTCATGTTAACTCCTTAAAAACCGTAAAATTGCTTCTAAATTAAATTAAGTACGTTCTTCCTATGCAAAGCTAGCAAACCATATTCAACAGCTTCCTCAAGTCTCAACACTGTATCAATCGATATCCAGCCCTGCCATTTGGTCACTAGAATCAACTCTAAAGTACGGAGTAGCTATCAACGGTCAGGAAGTGTGCAGCAGTGGTTGGCTAGCGTTAATTAGTAGGAGTATCAGTTTAAGCCTTATTCAGTAACACTAGCGTATACTACTATGTACAGTGCATGCGTCAGTGTGCAAGTATGCAGCGTGAGGCGCGCACACGTATAATTAACTCACCGGGATGTGGGAGTCGCGGGCGTTGCGCTTGGGGTCGGTGGCGGAGAAGACGGTGTAGACGAGCACGAAGGTGCCGATGATCTCCGCGCCGAGGCCGGTGCCCTTGGAGTAGCCGTCGCTGAGCTCGTTGGCTCCGCCGCCGTACCGCGCGTAGTACGAGCTCTGGAACCCCTTGACGAGCCCCACGCCGCAGATGGCGCCCAGGCACTGCGCGATGATGTACAGCACCGCCCTGATCAGCGACACCTTCCTCGCCAGGAACAGCCCGAACGTCACCGCCGGGTTGATGTGCCCACCTGCACCATGCTCGATCACGCGCACACAACCGTGTTAAGTTCCTTTCGCTAGCCTTGATTCAGTTTTGTGTTGAGCGTGCATGATCTGATCGGTTTAATTTGGGACCTGAGATGCCGGCGGTGCAGTAGACGAGGATGAAGATCATGCCGCCGAAGGCCCAGGCGATGCCGAGGATGCCGACGCCGCTGCAGGCGGCGTCGGTGGTGTTGACGGTGGCGTCCGACTGGTGCTTGTACCCGATCACGGTGGCCACCGTGATGTACAGGAAGAGGAGCGTCGCGATGAACTCCGCGATCACCGCGCGGTACAGCGACCACTTGGTCAGCTCCTCCACGTCGATCAGCGGCGCCGGCGGCGGGTCGGTGTAGTCCTTCGCCGAGAACTCGCCGCCCTCCGGCGCCGACGCCTCAATGTCTTTCGCCATTGAGCTAGCTAGAATGCTAAGAACAACTAACCAAGCTAACGCTAGCTCTGTGCAGCTTGCTGCGGTTGAGTGTGGTGTCAAGAGGTAGGAGAGGTATATATGGGGGGGCGAGAGGATGACTCGTGCCACGGACAGGTCGAGCTCATATGCTCAATGATGGCTGGTTTAGGGATTGATTAGTGCCAGATTAGTCAAGGATAAGGGGATTAATGGTTTCTGGTTAGGGTTTTTTGTGTTAGAATTTGCCGACCACAACCGACTTAGCCTCATCATTATGTCACTCATGAACCTAACTGGTGGCTAGTGATCAATCGGAGGGATTATTCTAAGTGATGTGCTTACATATACTGTTCCGGGAAAAAACAAATTGGTCTGAACTGAACTTCAGCAAAGCCACTGTATATGTGACTTCAGCTAGGGTTTGAAGAGCTAAAAGGGCGGCTATGGTCAGGCATAATAAACTGGAGTAGTTAGCATGCATGTATTTGTAGGATCGTAAAGGGCCTTTTCCACCCCAAAAGCTAGCCATTGAAGTGAGGGGCTCCCCCACTTATATCTTAGGTCCTTTGCCCTTCCACAACCAATGTGAGACTATTCGACAATCTTTCCCTTCACACATTGGTGTCCCAGAAAGCTAGCCATTGAGGTGAGGATGTGGGACTATTCAACAATCTCCCTCTTCACACATTGGTGTCCCTCAGCCCTTCACCATATCCGGGCCCCCACCGGCCCACGGTCCATTAGGTATACGGGGCTCCCCCACTTATATCTTAGGTCATTTGCCCTTCCACAACCAATGTGAGACTATTCAACAATCTTCCCCTTCATACATTGGTGTCCCCAAAAGCTAGCCATTGAGGTGAGGATGTGGGACTATTCAACAATCTCCCCCTTCACACATTGGTGTCCCTCAGCCCTTCACCATATCCGGGCCCCCCCCGGCCCACGGTCCATCAGGTATACAGACCCCGCAGGCACCCACGGTCCATCAGGCCTTCACACGTGTCCATCGGACCAGAGATGTTAACCTAGTCTAGCTCTGATACCAATTGTAGAATCGTAAAGGGCCTTTCCCAACCCAAAAGCTAGCCATTGAGGTGAGGGGCTCCCCCACTTATATCTTAGGTCCTTTGTCCTTTCACAACCAATGTGAGACTATTCAACAGTATCTTCTCAGTTGTTCATAGTTCACTGCTGAATTTTTATTGCATGCCAAATGCATGTTTGATTTCTTCTGCTGTGCATAACTGAGCACACTGGCGTGCAAGCGAAATTCAGCAGCACATCGTTGTGTCGATTAGCCTAAGCGTAATATGGTAGAAACAGGTATAAGTAGCCTAATCTTTTAGAAATCTTATCCTGTACAGCCATTTATATACACTATACGTACTTATCCACCAATGGAGATGCTCGGAAACTTTATTGCTAACAATAATAACAAAGACAGCGAATCGTTTCGTGGGCAGACAACGGGCTGTAGCTACTTACAAATTGAGATTCTTATCACCAGGCTCGATTAGTTGCAACCTACAAGCTGTAAGAGGTGACAGCATTAGCTGTCGTAGCTCGTCTTCTCCCACAAAGGAAATCTCCAGAAATTTCTGGCCAAAATCTTCAGGGTCTCTCTCTGTCCCAAGGACCAGCTGTGAAGAGAGTTAGAGACAGACACCAAACCCCAACAAAAGCCATGCATTATGATCCATGAACAAAAATAGCGTTGCAGAGAGCATATTCTTCATGGCCAACTTCTCATTACTGGTTGTCTCTCCATGAATTGTGAACTTGCTCTCCACTAGCTCCTAGCTAGCTAGCTGTACATAATTATGCATTTCTCTTCCCTGTACATGATTAAGTGGCCTGCGTCGTCGTCCTTCTCTCTAAAACACTCTTCCGGTTACCACAACTCATCCCTCTGCCGAGTCGCTTTCTGCGAGGAAAGACGCCCGCGACAAAGCAAGACAGGGAGAGGCGCAGAACGTTCTCCTGTCTGCCGGAGTATATTTCTAAGGAGATCACATCCTGTTGCTGCCCTTTTCTCCGTTTCTTTTTCGCTTCGGATTCACGTTTTTTTTTCCTCTCGAGATGCGCGACGTAAGTGTTATTTCCATGCGTCCATGTCGTAGGACGCGTGGGTGAACGGTGGCCTTCAGATCGCCGTGGCCGGCCAATCCGGCGCTGCCACCTACGCTCATCTGTGGCTGGCAAGAGCCGGGCGGCCCAGGTCACGGTCGCTGGTGGGCTGGTGGCCCCGGTCTCCCAATCATTCTGAGTTTCTGACGATGCGTCGCCGCAACTGTGCTAGAAACGCAGGACAAGAGATAAATAGGAGACAAATATAGTCCTCACTCACCATGCTGTATGCAATCCACAGGATTCGTCTGCGTTGTGAATTTTGTGATGGTGTGGTTGTACTGATTGATTGAACCGTTAAGCTGCGGCTGTGTGACTGTGTGAGCATGAGGGGCGGTGTTCGAAAAGGACGGCGAGCCAATGGCATTCCACAGGTGGATTCATATGATTCTCGTCTCCTCTCGAGAGGAAGAGCCTGAGCCAGCGAAGTTTTAAGCCCCATCGTTTCGCCAAACGGTATATCTGCAAATGAAAAATACTTTGATAAAAAAACTCTCAAAATCGGCTTTAAATTTAAGGTTGAAAAATTAAATTTTAGCAGATAAGTATAAATATAAACAAAAAGATAAGGTTATTTGTTCATCTGAGATCAAATTAATCCGTAGATTGATGTGCAGTATCATACTAGACTGATTACTAGTAGTTGACAAGTGGTACTTCTTTCGCAGGTCAACTTCTTGGTTTTCCTTCTACCGAATAATAGCAAGTTTAATAGTATAGCCAACTACTGGCTTTTAATCGTCTATAGTTAATCTAATAGCAAATTCATACAATAGTTACATATAAACATATACTATAGAATTTATACATGATCCCACATGTCATGCACACATGCATTTTGGAGACCGTGCTGTAACTGGCTATAAATTTTTAGTCCGATGCTTTTCTCTCTCCTCTTTTATCTGCTCGAAATGTGTTTATGGCTAGCTTATAGTCTGCTATTGTACCTGCTCTAATAGGGTTGGTGTTATTGTAGTCTGGAACTCTTTCCAGGGACGAGGCTACAAAGTCCATATAACGTGATGTTGCGATAAACTTGAACATCCTGAACGTAATGGATTTAGGATGTACAACAGAGAAAAGTTCTTACGGCCCAGCCGAACAAACTGGGTTCGCCCCTCTTTAGCACACCACAAGTCCTATACTAGTAGTAATAGCCCATAAGAGCAAATGGTTCACTTCAGGTCCTTCATCTTGTCATCTAGTTTTAAAATCATCCCTATACCGGAATACCAGATAAACACACCCCTAATGTTGCAAAAACGGTTCATATTGGGTACCAAGGTAGCATTACTTCTAGTTTTGACTGACGTGGCGGCTGAGTCCGCGTGGGACCTATGTAGGCCCCACATGTCAGCATCCCAATTTCTTCCACTTCTCCCCCTCTCTTCCTATCTCAATCCAGGGCTAGGGGGCGGCTGACGGAGCGTGGGGCTCCTCACCGGGAGACCGCGTAGGCCCCCCTTTGCCGGTTCGGCCGGGGGCCCTGGGTGAGATTCTAAGCTCTCGGTGTGTGGAAGGTTCGCGAGAATGGAAACACACAAGACACGGGCGATGTATACAGGTTCGGGCCGCTGAGAAGCGTAATACCCTACTCCTGTGTTTTGGTGGATCTATGTATGAAGAAGCTACAAAAGAGCTGGAGAACCAGAGAGCTCTTACTCTCTCCCTCTCTGATCGTTCTGGATCCCCCCTCCAGATCCTCCTTCTAAGTGGGCAAGGTCATCCTTTTATACCTCAAGGGGATACCACATGCACCATCTCTCTCTTTTTTGTAGGGACTTATCCTATCTTTTCATAAACAGACGGAGACTTGTATGGTTGCCGTCCGAATGACCTTCTGATGGGACGGCCCATACCTACCTCCACTTCCGCCGGAAGCAGGCGCGACGTGGGAACATGGCTGTCTGCTGACGACATGACCAGTGTCAGACCGGTCACAAATCGGTCATTCTTGTCCACCACGCGTCAGTTTATCAATCTGCATGTTCGCCCCTCTTCATACAATGTCTTGCTTGTAATGGTTAGGATGAAGCCTGGTATATATCTGACCGGGACCAACGTGCCATCTCCAGGAGCTAACACGCCGGCTCCGGCTAGGGACGAGTGCTTGGAGGCTCTCATCCTGACGGGATGGGGCGAGGCGTGCGTCAGACCGCCTGTCGCCACCTAACCCACGATCTGATCGGTCTGTGACTGGTCACAGACCGGATAAACGAGTGCGCTGCACTGCGTTACATGCGGCGTGACGCGCTCGTCCAAACCGCAATAAATGTGGTTAGGTGAGCCCCGCTATACTCACCTACCCCATATACGCGGCGCAAAACCCACAAGGGGTCGGGGCGCCTCGGCCCTCGGGGCCGAGACGGGAGCGGTCCGACCCCTCGGGGAGACAAAGAGAAGGGCGGCCGTATCACCCTCGGGCCCGACCCCCCCCCCCCCCCGAGGGGGTTAGGCCACGTGGGTGATCGTGTCTGCCTCAAGTCTCTAAGTCATGATACTCCCGGTCCCATGTCACCGACAGCGGCGATTGGTGGGGATAATGGTGGCGGTCGATGAGGGGAAGCTCAATGGCGACGGCCAGCAACCAGTAGGGAGAAGAGTGAGGGCCAGCCGCTTGATCCAGATCTATACTTGTGCCCGAGTCGTCTACATTGCCTAGCGTGCTTCCCTCCCCATGGCCTTGTTGTCGCTACTCATCCGACTTGATCGCTTACATGTCTCTGCCTAGTGCATGTCCTCCACTCTCCACCAAAGCCTCGATCATCCTCTCTCCCACGACAATGAAGCGTTGCGTCGGCTCCGGCCACGGTTGGGCTGCCTTGTACGATGGCGAGGTTGCCTGCCTCGTGAATGCCCTCACGACAAGGAGATCCTCTTCCACTGTTCCCCCATAAAGAATGTTGTGTTCGTGTGAACCCAACGCCGAGCAGCTTCACTGTGGTGGCCATCACCGGGCCACTCCACAAAGGAAGAGATCTCTGGTCGCCGAGACCATGACTACGAATGAGGTCATTGCAGTGCATAGGACTATGGAGCGGTGGTGGTGACGAGGGTTGAACCATGATATCAGATATATCGTGTCTCTCAATATTTCCCTAGGACCTCGCGTACTCTGGTTTTGTTAGTTAAGAGACGATATATAAGCTATTATGGTTCAAGGACGTGATCTAAACTTGATGATAAAATAAGAGACCTAACTAAGGAATAAGTTCACTTTGTGACCCTCAAAAGTGATCGAAATCTAATTCGTGACCCTAAACCACAAAACCAGATATCTCGACCCCCAAACTCTTAAAACCGGTGCAATTTGACTCCCTTGGTGGTTTTGAAGGGCGGTTTTGCTGACGTGGCGCCTACATGGCGGTATTGACCGGGTCTCCTTTACACGTGGCATTGACGTGGCGTTTAGTTGGCATTTAGAATTAAAAAATATATGTAGGACCCATTTGCTATTGACACATAAAAGAAAATTGTGAGACCCACGTGTCCCTTCTCTCTCCCCTCACTCCGGTTCCTTCTCCCTCCTCGCCGCTCCCTCTCTCTCTCACCCGCGGAGGGCGGCGAGGGCCTGAGCGGCGGTGAGCGGAGACGGCAGCAAGCGGCGGAGGCACGGGCGTGGCACGGCGGCCTGCGAGCGGTGGGGACACGGGAGTGGCGGCGGCAGGCACTGGAGCGGCGACGGCGGCGGCACCCGAGCATAGCTCTCCCGGCTCCTTGCCGCGGAGAAGGGTCGACGCGGAGGAGGAAAGCAAACGCCCTGACGACATGCAACTGGGGCGAACCATCCGATACCCCCGTTCAAAAACGCGACACCACATGGAGCTCCGGCGGCGAGCGTCGTCGTCGACGACGATCCGACGCTGCTCACGTCGTCGACGTTCGCGAACCACGTCGTGCGGCGACCTGGGAATCGAACTACGGCAGAGCTCGACGATGTTGTCTATCAGCGCCCGGACCTTCTCCCTATCTTTCTCAGTGTACTCCTCCCAGCTCTTCATCCCAACCTCGTTCATGAGGATGTTGTAGTACAAGCACTGCATCAGCCTGGCATAATGGATGAGAATGCGATGAGTGCCCAAGCGTGTGAGCTTGATGTACCTATCCTCGCACAGTGAATTCAGGCCGCAATTGTCTCTCAGAAACAACATGGTCCTCCTGTGTAGCCACCGTTTGACATCGATCTGGACCATGTACCACCACGACCGCCGCCGCGGCCGCCTCCGCTCCTGGAGATCTGCTACTGCTTGTTTGTCTTGCCCCTCCATGTTTGGTCCCTGCAACTGGAGATCTGCTGCTGCTTATTTTTGTCTTGCCGCTGCCCGCCGTCCTCCTGCTAGAACGCCTGGTCGCTGTCGGCGAGGAGGCGGTGGAGCTCAGCCCGGGCGCCGCCGCCGCCGCCGCTCCAGTGCCTGCACCGCCACTCCCGCGTCTCCTCCGCTCGCAGACCGCCGCGCCACGCCCGCGCCTCCGCCGCTCCGGCCCTCGCCGCCCGCCACCAGCCGCGGGAGAGATAGAGGGAGCGGCGAGAAGGGAGAAGGAACTAGAGGGAGGGGGGAGAGAGAAGGGACACGGGTCTAACAATTTCTTTTATGTGTCAATGACAAATGGGTCCCACATATATTTTTTAATTCTAAATACCATCTAAACGCCACGTCAACGCCACGTGTAAAGGAGACACAGTCAATACCACCACGTCAACAAAACCTCCCTTCAAAACCATCAAGGGGGTTAAATTGCACCGATTTTAAGAGTTTAAGGGTCGAGATATCCGGTTTTATGGTTTAGGGCGGATTAGATTTCGATCACTTTTGAGGGTCACTAAGTGAACTTATTCCCCTAAATAAACTTATTGCCCCATGATACCATGTCGACCAATACGCGGCCGGATTGGGCTGGCCATAGCCCATATCATCAATAGATCAAACGGCCTACTTGGAAAGGTTCTTGAGCCTCTGGCCCATAGCCTGTTTGTACTACTACTTCGACAACTCTCGCGCGTTCAAGCTGTTGCTTCTTTTGCGCGTTGAGCCGCTGAAGAAGTTTCCCGTTCTCTCTGCTCTGCTTGCTCGAGACTTCGCCTCGACGCAGCCCTGCATCCTACCGCGAGTTCGCGACAGCGTCACTGCGTCAGTAATTCACATCAGACGACCAACTGGCTCATCAGCATCACGTGCTGCTGCCGCAACCACAACGTTCCGACGGCTCCGGCGCACGTGGGGTCCCAAGGGAAATTTCGAGGAATTGAGGCCACCGCCACGCCCGCACGCTCGCATGTCGGCACGTATCATGTCCAGCGCAAAACGGCACGAGCAGATATATAGATACAGGGCCACAGGCCGCAGCTCATCTCCTCCTCGATCTCGTCTGGCTGCCGCTGCGGCAATGCCACTATTGCCAGCCACCACCGATGCATCCATACATGGATCGCCCCATCGCCGCCAAACGGGATGGCCAGCTCGCTGCTTCGTCGGACCGCTACAAGATCTGTCCGATCGAGCTAATCCGCCTGCGCCCCGCCGCGGATACAGGCGCGAGCAGGGCGAGCCCACGTGGCCGCTCCCGCCGAGCCACTCCGGCGGCGACACGTACGTACGCCGACACCCGCGTGCCGACTGGGTCTACTACGACGGTGCATATGTTGCTCCCCGCGCCGAAAGCGACGGTGAGGCGGATGCGCAGCTGCGGCCGCTCGCGTACGTGTCCTTCCTGGGGACATTGCCAGCCTTAATTGTATAATGCGATCACCTTATCCTCGCTAATTAGATGGATAAACTTCGTTTATCGCGTCCCAGAAGAATGCTGGTTCAGTGGTACTCCCTGCTGGTCTTAAGAGTAAAAAAACAACCATACTGTCTCGTCCTGCTCGTCTAACCTACAGGCGCACCTAGCATACTGTAACTAGCACCGCCCTTGTCTCTGCCAGAATCAAATGGTCTTGTTCGGATATGCAGCGCATCGTATACTCCAACATATTTTGCCTCAAAACCAGATAACCGGATCTACCTGGCTTCGTGTCTCTTCTATACGTGGCGAGCTTAGGTAGCTAGTGTATTTAGCTGGAGAGGAAAAACTCTCCGTTACTAGCAGCTTGGCTAGAGAGAGTGAGAAACCAACTCGCGATGAAACTCCCCCAAATCAGTGCTGCTGGTTACGGATAAGCCTCTCTTTTCCAACATCGCTTAATCGTTGATGGACTCACTTATCCAAAACAAAAAGACACCGGGCCCACTACGTTTCCAACTGGCCAATCGCAGCGCGCCAGCAGGCGTTGCCCCACAAAACCCAAACGTAGCCACAGCCTCAAGTCCGGATACGGAGGATACGTACGTGACGCGTCGGAAACCTTACGGCCTCCGATCCCCGGGCCCCACCCGCAGCGAGACAGTCGTAGATGTTGTAGGTGTCGTCCACGTAGCAAATACATAACTGTACACGGGCGAGACAGGGGTACAAGGGTCAATCCATATACGGCCTTATCCACTCCTACCGCTTTCCGCTCTCGTCCCTCCGGCTCCTATAAAATCCCGACGAAACCACCGCCGCGCAACCTCTTCCACTTCCCTTCCCTCTCTTCTTTTGCCGTGCTCCCAGATTCTCCGGTCGCCACGACTGCTTCGTGAACAATCTGCATCGCTCCGCGATTCGTGTTGGTTCTTTTTTTTGTTTCTTGGCATTCACGGCGGCGGCAATGGCGAGGAGCACGCGGTCGGCGGCGACGGAGCAAGCGTACAGCCGGTTCGCGCCGACGGCGGCGTCGTCACGCGGCCGTGGCGTAGGTGGCGGCAACGGTTTCGACGAGTTCGACGAGTCGGACATCTGGGGATCGTTCGAGCCGGCCGCGGAGGTAGCCGAGTCACCCCGGGCGGCACGTCATCAGGTGCCGGCCGCCCGGCCGCCGGGGCGGAAGGCGGCGGCGGCGGCGTCGAAGCCGGCGGCGCACGGGTCGCTGCCGGTGAACATACCGGACTGGTCCAAGATCCTGGGCGACGAGTACAGGGGGCACCACGCCGGCGACTGGGAGGCGGACGACGTGGACGACGACGACATCGACGCGGCGTCGGCCGTGGCGGTGCTGCCGCCGCACGAGCTGGCGTGGCGCCGCCGCGCCGCGTCGCTGTCGGTGCACGAGGACGGGATGGGGATCGGCCGGACGCTCAAGGTCCGCGACGCGGTGTGGAAGAAGACCGGGTTCCAGGCCTGACACTTTAGCTTTTGCACGTCACCTCCATCCATCGAGCTGTTTTGTTTGAACGAACAGAGGATAGATTAATTTAACTCTCTCGAGTGCTATTGGTAGTTGGTGTTTTTTTTAGCAGCACTTAACTGCACAAGTGTTTCGTGCTTTTGCCCTTCTCTTTTTTTGGGCCTTTTTCTTTTCTTTTCTTAATTTTCTCGGCACATTCAGGAGAGGATCAGAAGAGGTAGTAGTCAGGTAGAGGAATTAGTGCTAGCTGCTTGTTGTTGATTCATCGTGACATGTACTATTTCTCGAGAGAATGAAGATGATAAACACGACATATTTGTTTAGTATTACTGTCATTTTCATTCGTGTACTGTAAAATTTTTTACTACGATTAAGAGTAATTAAAGGCAATTGTTACTGCTCGTCGTACACGCGCAGTAAAAGCGATTTGTCATGGAGCAGATTAATGCATGAATTCTCCTCAAAGCTGCTGACTGCTTGTCCTTATCTGGATCAGCAGTTCAGAGCGGATATAATTGGTGGCCAACCTTTTTTTTTTCTCCCTTTGTGCCAACTGCAACATCCCGAGTCCAATTCTACAGCGGAGTGAAGGCATATGCCATCCGTTGCCGCTGGCATATGCGCCAACCGGTTTGGTTGAAACAACATCCTGCGATAGGGTGATACGAGTAGCAAGGAGAGTTTGCACGGCGACCACAACTGCAAAGTCGCACCAATGGTAGTAGTAGCACCGGAGACCGGGAGACGAGTTTTCAAGGGAAAAATGATGCAAAGGCTACGCCTACAAGCAATGCCGCGTCATTTCCCATTCACCAGTGATATCCTTGTTAGTACTTTCTTTTAGCCAAGATTTGTGTCCATTAATTGGATGCTTCGATTCATTTGGGTTATTACGCCACGTACTAGTACGTACCCAGCGCACATTGGAAAACCAGAAAAATACTTGTAATCGTCTGATCGAGCACAGCAAAAAAGCTCCGAAATCCCGGCGAAAGCATCTGCACAAGAAATACACTGAGGCCACGACCACGAGGTCGCGGTCGCACCAATGATAGAACTTTACTGGGAGGACCACACGATTGGAATCATATGCAACGTGTACAGCAGACGATACTCTCGCCAGTCACCAGTGCAAGCTATGCTGCATCAGTCTCCGATCTCCATCGTCTACCACTGGACCTTGTGTTCATCCAGTCAAATATTATTGTCATAAGGTTTATATACAAGCAATAGCGAGATTACACAATAGGCCTACTCTCGCAGTTAAGAGGTCTCTAAGCTATGCTGTCCCCGCGAAGCATCAAGTTTTAGCCTCCTTGATTTTCGCTAGGTCCCGTTCATTTCTCCAACAAGAGTTGGATGAAGATAAAGATTTCCGTTGCACGCTTTTTAAACTATGAAACAGCGTGTTTTATGCGAAAACTTTCTATATAAAAGTTCCTCTAAAATATCATATTAATCTATTTTTCAACTTTGTAGTAATTAAAACTTCAATCATATGTTAATACACCTCGTTTTGCGTAAAAAAACTTAATCTTCATCTTCAGGAGTAAAGAACACCACCTAAGACGGTAGGCATCAGGGCATGGATGCAATTCGTTAGAAGACTTCCGTTTCGCTTATTCTAAATTTTAGCTGGCCTAAGGGATGAGCGACCGTAGTGAGTTTTTGGGATCCGTTTTGTCTATGCTAGACTTATCCTCTATGTTTTCATTGTCGATGGTGTTCCACTAGTTCGTTTGCAGGTCGACTTGCGTCCATGTCGCTATTGCTCCCAATATTCTCTTTTGCGACTATCTAGTGCGCGAGGTAGTGAACAGTCGTCTTGTCACCTAACTGGCATAAAGGATAAATTCTTGGTTCTACCACTCTCCTTCTTTATCAATGAAAAGAGGCAGTTCTCCTACCCCTCTCACCCGCTGGCTGGCTTGGCTCGATTTGATATAGGTGCCGATTTTTTTAAAAAACCCGACACCTATAATATATTTAAGATGCTTTTTTTTATAAAAAAAAAATCGACACCTATAGTTAAAAAAATTGGCACCTATAGTTGCATAAATATACCGATTTAATGTATTTTCAACCCACCGAAGAGGGAAAAACACTATAGATGCCGGTTTTAACTATTCTGGCACCTATAGTGCCGATCTCTATGTGCTTTTTTATGGTGATTCTCCTCCAATCCCCCAATTGCTTGTCGTCTCTCGTCTCTACGATGTTAGAGGACGTCATAGCTGACTTATCGAGACTAGGACAAACCGATGCACGTTTATCCTAAGAGCATCCCTGCCGAGTGTTCATTCGGCGACATCTACCCATTCCCTATGGTGACTAAGTCTTTGGATGCCGTCGTAAGTTGCACATAACGTGTTTAAGGTGTCGCGGCGCAATTCTATATCAACAAACATATCTAGTTTCAACAGCGGGAGAACTAAGAAACATTGGGGAAAAAATGTTAGAATGATTCATCTTCTTGTGCAAAATCCTGAAATGTTGGGGGTAACTATTGAGTATTGAAGTCCTGATCGATAGTACTAGGTCGCATTGCACTCGTACATCCAGTTGTTCTCATTGGAGCAGCTTCAGTCGAATCGAGCTCCTTCAGGAAACCCCTGATGGTCTTCTCGAGCTCTTCGCGGTCCATTTTCTTAGACGAGCTCGGGGCGACCGCCTTTTCTTTTTCAGAGTTCTGCAGGTAGCAGAAGCAGATCCCTGCTTAATCAGTTACTAATTCAAATCCAAATACTTTTAGGCTACACGGCGTTGGAGAAGCTCTGCTTGTACACATTGTGATGCTACAGAACGGAAGTGACAAATCTAAAATCTTACCGTTCACCCTGAACCAGAATGGCTGGTTTCTTCTGAAGAAAAGAACGACCACAAGAAATACGGGTATACGCACGAGAATTACAGTAATTCATACCTTTGATCGCTTCTGCCTCTTCTTTGGTTCATTCTTTGCGTCCAGCTTTTCTATCAGCTGCCGGCTCTGCGTTGCGCGCACAGGGAGAAGGAGAGAGTCAATGATCGATGCAAAAGTGCGACATCTGTAGTTATCTAGTGCGGTCCAGCATCACAGTTAGGCAATGGCAGAGAACAACGATAGCTTACCTGCTTAACAATTGCCATGTAGTCTTGCCGGCACTTGGCTTGCCTCATCTCGACCTCGTCTGACATTTGAAATGGTGAGCTACCACTGCAAATTTGCAATTCAACTACTTTCTGCTATGAACTTATAGGGTGTACTGTTCCGTGCTCATTAGCTATGCTTCGGTGCTTCTTATAGAAGATTTTCAGTGCATCATTTCTTAACGAAACAGATAAGACACGCACACACACACTATGTCATTCTTAATGGCGAGACTATATTACTAGCAGTTATGATCAAATGCAGACTTGCTGATTTAGGTCGTTTCACATTCAGTAAGGGAAGGCACAGTTTCCTCGCAGCCGCGGGAGCGCGTCGCCGCGTGAAGGTTCTTAAAAGAGAGAAGCCTTTTCGGCCCAAAAGAGGGTAACAAATGGGCGATGAACTGCTGAAACGCTGCGCTAAGAAATCCTTGCTCTGTGCCGAACTTTATCTAGCTTTTGCGAGTCGCCGGAGGAACAACGGAGGATTGGTCGGTTACAAAAGGAAGAGTGTGGGAGAAAGATATGCCTGATACTCCAGACTTTGACGGGATTTCTGCCATCTTTTGTTACCTCTTTTCAGTAGGAGAGGCTTCACTACCATGATCGGTTAGTTAGAGATGATAAGTCATAGAAAATAAAAGAAGAAATTAAAAATAATTTATGAGTAAATATTCTATTTGGTTTAGAAACGCCTAGAAAATATATTATGATAAAAGAGCCCTACAATAAAACCAAGTTAACAAATAAACGCGTAGTGTGGCGTTGGCGCACAAGACAAAACTTTATGATTGGCTAAAATTTATATTACCAAACTAGTACTCCTACGTGATAGAGGCTAGAATTTATACTTTTGTATTAAAAAGATAAATATGTGACAGTTATATATATAACAGACCAGCTCCTCATTTGGTAGGGCTAATAACAGAGTGAATTCTGATGAAAACAAGCGTTCTCTAAAACTTATTTAGCCATAATCGTGCTCTACTAGGTCATAAGGCAACGAGCTATCATGACAGCAATTGCCACGAAAAGCCTATATGCATAGTTGTTCATGGTGCAAAAATCACCATGGATAGCCCGCTTCCTCTCGAATGCTATACAAATTTAAATATTTATTGTTTTTCCCATTCATATTCTTTCCCTTTTAGAAATCTTCAATCAAAACTTTCTACTTTAGACTTTGAACACAAATCTATAAAACTTTCTACTCTTAATATCAAAGCTTTTTGCCAAATATTATTGAAACTTTCTTAAAAAAAAAGTTTTATGTTCAAAACTTTACCTTTCACATAACCATTCCTTCGAATTAAGAAATTTTATCTCAATACATCAAAAAAAAATCTTGTTGACTTTAAACTTTCAAGTCAAATCTCTAAAAGTTTCTACAAGAATTTTCAATAGAAGTGCAATTTGCAAAAGCCGATGAAAGAGGGTATATATCTCACCTGCGGCTAGATCTGAAGAAGAAAAATGTGCACAACGATGACCTTGTGTCGTATCGTTGGGGATGAGGCGCGGGTTGGTGGCTGAGGATGAGGAGGAAGAAAGGGATACCAATGTCTCGCCAAGGAAGAGGAAGCAGTGAACCTCAAGCTCACTATTGTCTCGCCAAAGTGGTGGAAGAGGAGGGAGGAGGCACGGTAAGTTCACCAGCATCTTGCTTTGGAGAAGAAATAAGGGAAGAGGAAGCGAAAAGGAAAAAGTATAGCCAATAATTGCCTCTGTGTCATCATGTGGAGGTCCAAGAAGGAAAGCCATTATTGGATAAGGTTTTCACTGCCTATCATGTCAATGAACGTATGCTAATTAGACTCTTGTATAGCCATGTAATCATTAGCAAGTTAAGGCCATGTAATCATTAGCAAGTTAGGGAAATAACGTTAGGGTGAAGTGTTGCATGAGATTACACTAGGATGTGATATTGGACTATTAGTATAAGAACAATCACATGGATTATACAAAAGGAGTGTGTGGTAATTACTTAATGGTAGATATGCATATCTCATATCAATGATATGGTGAAAGAGGAGGGGAAGGCTAGTTGGAAGTATGTGGGACAAAAGCCCATATTGTGAAAAATATTTTCTACAAAATCTCATAGGCCAATCGTATGAAAGGGTTGCATGTGAAATTTACAACCACCTTGCTAGGTCCTTACCAATAGAGAAATCCATGTGCGCGTCTGGTCCAGTTTGTCCACCATGGCTCATTTTCAACTACAATCAGGCACTCTGCAACTCTATGTCGTTGCCAACATCCAATACCTGTTACAACATCTACCGTAAACCCGATCAGCATCGAGAAGAGGGATGGTGACCTTGATCTCAAGCACCACCTAGCTCAAACTAGGCAAGAGGAAACTGGGGACATTGGTCATTAGAGATGCATTGGATCTGGTGGCCCAAGATCCTACTACCCATCACATGCGGATAGGCCCGCCACCAAGCACCTATAGTCTCCCGTTGCTGTCAAAGCAGAGTAGGTGCAATGCGGTGACCATCGAAGGGATGGGCCTCGAGGTGCAATGTGGTGACCATCAAACGTGAAGAGAAGGAAGTCGCTTAGCCTGAGAAGACGCCTAGTGGTTTGGCGACTATCGACAACAATGGTGGTGGCACGATGTGAGGAGTGTATGGGAAGGAGGGGACATAAGAGTGAGTTACTGAGATACGAGGGAGTTATTAAGGTTACGTTGGCTACGGATGTGCTGCTAGTTTGCTTTTACCATCATTTTTTTGTTTTTTCCAGTTTGGCCAACCAAGACAGATATATTAAATTCGGTTAGTTACAATCAGTGACCGATTATTTTTTCTCGGTTAGTTTGGTCTCAGACTGGATCTTTCAATTTTTATATCAAATTTGCCCTTTCCTAGTGTTGTGCTTGCTCAAAATAATTAGAGCGAATTCTTTCGGCTGTCTCAGGCTCTCGTGTCGGTATACAGGCTCTCGTGTATAAAAGCTGAAATGCACCGGTCATCACATCTCATACTTCGGTCGGTTCTGGGCAGGCTGAATCCTCCAATCGGAGAGGTGTGCTCGCGTGTTTGGTTTGACTGGTTTGGCACATCCACGAATAGCCGGCCAGTCGAGTCGGAAACCCAGTTTGACACGGTTTCCGATCCCACTCGCCAAACCGACTCCATCACCGAACCGACTTTCTTGTGGTAAATAAAAGCACACCAATCTCGCTCGCACCACGCCGAAACGCACGTCTCGTCGTCTTCATCATCGTCGCCCCGCGATTCCCGTGTTGCTTTCGAAGGTCGGAGGAGGAGAAGAGGAAGAGGAAGAAGAAGAAGAAGGGAGCGGAGATGATCGAGGTGGTGCTCAACGACCGGCTGGGGAAGAAGGTGCGCGTCAAGTGCAACGAGGACGACACCATCGGCGACCTGAAGAAGCTGGTGGCGGCGCAGACGGGGACGCGCGCCGAGAAGATCCGCATCCAGAAGTGGTACAACATCTACAAGGACCACATCACCCTCGCCGACTACGAGATCCACGACGGGATGGGCCTCGAGCTCTACTACGACTAGCCGACCTGCCTGCCTGCCTGCCTTCGAGTATGGCCGATCGAATCGATCTTTAATTATGATGAATAATTCCGTCAGGGTTTGTGTGTCTTAGAACATCTTCTGGATATGATTTGGCTTGGTGTTTGTGTGAACGATGTTTCATACTAATAGAACGCTACTGTGAGCCGAATCACGTTGATTTGGGGGTGAATTTTTTGTTGCTTCCTGTTTCCTCGTTGGTGCTTATATATCTATACATATCAATCCGTGCCTTAGATCGGAAGATTGGTCGATCTCCTGTTGCAAATTGAGATCCCCCGATGCACTTTGTAGCGGATTATATGTAGGGCGAGAATTTTCGTGGGGGATTTGCATCGTTCTGTGCGGGTTCTTGATCTGAATTTGCAGAGTATGCAAATGGGGAAAGCGAAACTATTGGTAGACGACGACCAAAAAGAAAGGATTCTCTGAAGTTATCTGTCTCCGGCCCATGAATTATCAGCGCAGGATGGAATAAGTTCACTCTCTATCCCTCTACTTTCTGTCGAGTTTGTTGACATCCCTTATCTCCAATACAGAAATCTCAATAACCCCTAAACTATATAGAACAATGCAATTTAAGTCTAATAGCAGTATAGATATCTAGTTTCATTTACATGGTATCCTAGTCAGAAAAAAAAAAAAGAAACATATGTGTGGCACACATGTCAGCCACCCTCTTCTTTCTTCTCTTTATTTCCCAAGCCTAATGGGGAGAGGGAGGCGGCTAGCGGAAGAAGAGGGGATTGGCGAAAGAAATGGGGATTGGCGGGCGACGAGCCTGGGGGGAGGGGGTGAGGCGGCCGGAGAGAGAGGGGGGAGAGGCAGCTGACGTGCCTGGGAGGGAGGGGGAGGTGGACGACGAGAGGGATTGCTAAGTGCGAGGACACCACCGACATCGAGCCGTTCGACCTGACGCACATGTCACGGAGGCATGAGTTATACGTCGTCGTCTTGACGGCGTCGTCATGAGAGAAGAGGAACACGAGGTCCTCATCATGCTCCTGCTGCGAGAGACGAGCACCACAGAGCGCAACTCCTTCCCGTCAAGCCACTGCATGACACGGTCGGCCTTCGAGCCCGCACCGATGTTGCCGGAGTCCACGAGTAGCAGGCCACAAGGGATTATCTCCTTACCGATGAGCTTGGACTCCCCGGTCGTCTCTCTCCTTTCCCATCTCCCGTCGGCACCTCCCCATCCCTCCTAGGCCCACCAGTCGCAGGGGATTATCCCCTTGCCGGCGGGCTTGGACTTGTCAGCTGCCTCACCCTCCATCCCAGGCCTACCGACCGCCTCCACCCTCCACCCTCCACCTCCCCTCCCCCCCGGCTTTGCCGCCTCTCCCTCCCTCCAAGGCCTACCAGTCACCTTCCCTTCTCCCTGGTCGACCGCCTCCCCCTCCCTCATCTCTAGCCGCCCGCCTCTCCCCCCACTCTCCGGCCAGCTGCCTCCCATTGTCCCCATTGCCACAAGGAAGGCGTACGATGCTTTTCCTAATTATGTACGAAGAGTACAGAATTAGGAAAAAACAAGAAAGAAGAAGACAGCTGTCATTGTGGGGCTCATATACTTTTTTTATTCTTTTGCTAATTAGGATGTCACATCAACGAAACCAGATATCTATACTACTATGAGATCTAAATTGCACAGTTTTGTATAGGTTAGGGGTAAAGATTTCTGAAATTGGAGATAAAGATGTCAAACAAACTCAACGTAAAGTTGAGGGACAACAGTTGGACGTATATTCCGTGCAGGATAGGCTCAAAAGGCCATCAACTCACTATGCGGGCTTTCTTAATTCTGGTCCCTTCCTTTGGCCCATTGATACATCTGTCTGCCGAAAAGGCCTTAACGTCCCTCTTTGACCCATGGATACATCTGAAGGCCAAAAATACCTTAACGGCTTAACGCCCTTCTTGAGGACTTGCCCATTCATTTCGAGTGATTGGGCTGGGATCCTAGTTGTTGAGTCTCCCAAGCAAGCCCAAAATATCCCATTAACAAGGTCAGGATGTCCCAAAATTTCCAACTACATAATCGCAAAAAACAAAGTCTGTTTTTATGATCCCGAGGTCTGCCTGTCAAGGTTTTCATTTTTTTTCTGTCTTTTGTTGAACTAGTAAACCACCTCCCCGGCAGGCTATCCACGATATTTGACTTTGAACAATACCATTATACGTCAAGGAATTAATCGTCGAAACTTCCAGGGTATCCCATGTCCCATGATGCAACGCCACAGTTCAGTATTCACACGAAGCTTAGATCATCATCTATCTCTACGTTGAAACTTTCTGCCCCACCTGTCATCCGCACCAAACACATTTCCTGCAAACCTGGGATTCCACTTGAGATTAGCCACCACCACCGCCACTTCCCATGGCAGCAGAGTACCGATGCCCAAGGACGTTCGTGCACACAGGAATAGAGTTTTCCATTCCAAACCTCTCATAATTAGTCGCCATCCAACCGAGGCAACTTTGACCGCAAGAAACACACAAAACCAAACCAGAAACAAAAAAAAAATGCCATTGTGTGCTCATCTTCTTCTCCGGGGACACAAGACCCACAAAGCCGGCACCGGAGAAAGTGCCGGCGTCTTTCCCTGGCCGGAGCTTAATAAAATGGCTAGCTGGTCAAATGAAGATGACAAAGCTAACCCAACCCAAGCCTAGATTGGTAAGCGCACCGGCGCGGAGTAAACAAATCCACACCTAACCTAAACAAACCCGGACACGAGTGACAGGCCGGCGTTGGGATCACTGGAGACTGCCTTTTTGTTGCGTGGATCTGGTGCCTGGTTGTGGCAGCTTGCTTGTGCATGGGCACTGAAAGCAAGGGCCTCGTCTCACCCGTTTTTGTTTATTGGCCGGCGTGTGATTGTGTATTAACTGAAAAATTATCTGTCACATACTCACAACATTGGAGTAGGTTGCACGTTATTGTAGCTTGGATCTCCTAATTTGTGCTGTTGGTGGGAAGGTCTTCTGTCTTCTGACTGTAGTAGCACTACTGTAGTAGAATTATTTGTATACCTACAAAAGCTTCTTTTTTTTTTTGGACAGGTATGATCATATATTCAGGGTTTTTCTTCTTTTCTCTGTTCTCAAAGAACTGGAGCAAATCATTTGAAGCTCCAGCTTTCTGGATGGGCCATAGATTGGGTACTTTTTTTTGGTCTGCCAGAACGTATCCCTACTATATAAAAATATATTTTTTTCACAAGATTGTAGTACTTGAATGTACTTCAAATTCAATTGCAGTGGCGTTCCTATATTCATCTTCATGAGATTACATGATCCTGGGTAGATTATTCGATTCTAACTGATTTATGGAGTACTATGTTAATTAGTATATTAGATAATAATTAGACCATTAGTGTGTACAGGATTTATGGTATTTTTTCCTTCCGTGTTCGTCAGTGTTCACATGAAGAGGAAATTTCAGTTGTGGATGTAGGAATACCGTGCTAGTTTGCGAGTGGTAGAAGAATGAATTATGAAATTCAGTACTAGTACTCCTGGAGATGAAAAGGATTGTAACCTTTACCTTGTCCGAAAGATGGCATGTCAAAAGATGCGTCTTCTTTTTTCTAAAAAAAAAGGACATGTCAAAAGATGATCAGAAAAGAGGGTGAAAGGCTCAAAGGCCCCATATATGCACGGCACAAAAACGTGGCGTGCAGCGGGGCCCGGCGGTTCCCACAATGCGGCGGGACATTCGCCCTGGCGCTGTCGTCACCGCCGCATCACCCGCACGAGCAGACGACGAGCATCATCTACTCTACCTATCCCTTCCCCTCTCTCCCTCTCCCCCATGCATTATTTAATCTCTCTCCCTCTAATCCCAGTAAACGCAGTAGTAAGGACACCCGCAATGATTATATATAGGCTCTCTATAAGAGATGCATGTCAACATATTTTTCTATTTGGAAGAGATTAAATAAAGAGAGAGAGCAAAGCTATCTACTAATATAGAGATAGTCTATAGAGAAAAACGAGGCAGTGCATTAGAGAGCTATAGATACCTATGTAGACATACTATTGAGGTGGTTTACTATTAATCTAATCTATTGCTGAGATATATATGTTTTATAGAGAGCACATTAATTTATCATTGCGGATGCTCTAATACACAGGCAGGTGAGGGGGCAGGCCGGCATGTTGCAATGTGCCACGCCGTCCCCACCGCACCGGGTGGGCCGGACGGACGGACGGTGCTGACCTGAGACCTCCTCCTCCTAACCTCGCTGACTTCTCCCCCTCACGGCGCCTCTCGTAAAAAAGCCATGTGGTTTCGTCTCGCCACCGCGCTACTACTAGCAATCGGCAGCGAGAGAGAGCGGCAGCTGTTTGTTTAGCCACGGCACGCGCACCGGGACGCCGGGCGCGCCGCGGCCCCCGATTTCCCCCGCATCCCATCCACCGTTTTTCACCTCCGTTTTCACGGTGGGTGCATCTCGTGTGGGCAGGCAGGGGGACCCCTCGCCGAGAGGTGCAAAACACCGCGCGGCGCGCACGCGCGGAGGCCACTTTCCCAACCGCCGGTGAAGGGCGCCATGCGCCCCATGCATGCACGGTGCGATCGGGAAAAGGCGGATGCCACTTTGAGGGGACGATCCGTCGAAGAAAGGCAGCAAAACGCTGTGTGGTGTGGCCTGGTGGGGTTTAATCGTGCAGCGCTTTGTTGCAGTGGCCAGCATATAGCAACGCCATGCATGTTAAAAAGTGTTCGTGTAACTGTTCATGCATTGGCTGCTGTATAGTACCTGTTAAAAGTAGTACTCACGATACTGCAGGCCTCCCTGCGGATTGCGAGTCCAACTAACGATCGAATTGACCACCGGTATTGAGGTTTCTGGTTTAACCGACAAGTACTTGTAGATCAACGGCCTTCGGCCAGAAATTAAAGCTCAATTTGTCTGCTTGAATTTCTCGAAAAGTTGTCCAAGTTCAACATTCAGTAAAGTTCTGTTCAAAATTTTAAATTTTAAATTTTGTTTGGGAATCAAATACTTGGAATTCCGTTCCTCCTCCTTTTCTTTTAATTCCAGAATGTAAAGTCATGATTGAACCTTAACACGATAGTGGAGTCAAGTGCAAAATAAAGGCCTGTCGGTACGATTATCTTTTCGAAGCAAGACGATTAAATTTACGATGGGATTCATCGGATGCTCACTCTCATTCCTTTGCCGGAAGAAAAAGCTAAAAAGATGACGCGAAAGTTGATGGCCATGGCATATCAGC